GCCACATCTAGTGAGGGCCTTCTTGCTGCATCATCCCATGGTGGAAGGTGAAAGGGCCAGAGAGAGTGTGCTTATGTGCGTGCCTGTGCATGTGAGTGTGGGAGCCAAACTTATCCTTTTATCAGGAACTATTTTCTGAGTTAACTAAACCATTCCATCAATAATGCCATTAATTCATTCATGAGGGCAGAAGCCTTAGAGGTAGAGCCCTCATGACCTAATCACCTCTTAAAGTTCCCACCTCTCAATGCTGTTGCACTGGAGATTAAGTTCCAACACATGAACTTTGGAGGATGCATTCAAACCATACCATGGAGTTTTACATCTTTAGAATGGATTGCTTTGATTGATTTTCATGTGTTGAACCAGCCTTGTATTCCTGGGATAAACCATGCTTTCTTGTGGTATATTAATTATCTATTTTATATATAGCCAAATTTCATTTGCATTTTTTTAGGATTCTTATGTTTATGTTCATGAGGGATATCGATTTGTAGTTTCTTTTTTTGTACCACTTATTTTTCTGGTTTTTATATCAGGGAAATGCTGGCCTCACAGAGTAAGTTGATATGTATTTCCCTGTCTCCTAACTTCATAGAGAGATTGTATAGAATTGATGCTATTTCTTCTTTAAATGAATGGTAAAATTTGCCATTGAGACTGTCTGGACCTGGGTATTTTGGGGGAAGATTTTTAATTGCAAATTCAATTTCAGTAATATTTATAGAAGGGTTTAGATTATTTAGATTATTTGTTACATTTTGGATAAGTTTTGCCAGTTTGTGCTTTTTGAGAAATTTGTTTCATCTATGTTGTCAAATTTATGTGTTTAGAATTGCTATTACATACTCTTGTCATTGTAATACCTATGAAATTTCTATCTACTCTTTCATTCCTGAGTTTTTATTTCAGCTATTATATTTTTAGTTCAAAATATCCATGTGATTCTTATTTATATCTTCTGTTTCTTCACTGAGTGCTTCTGTTTTAAATATTTGTTCCAAAATCGCTTGTTATTGTTCATTCAAGCATTTTTATAATAGCTAATTTAAGATAATTTAATGTCTTATCTCATCATTCATGTCTGTTGTCTTTTTCCATGTTAATTGAAATGTTTATGGTTATTTGCATGCTGATTGATTGTAGTTTGTATCGTGGACATTGTGAGTATTGTCTTGAGATTCTGTATCTTGTTTATATCCTGTGGAGAAGGTCTATATTTTTGTTTTAACCTTTTGTATATTTTGGTTCCAAAATCAATTCAGTTTTCAAACCTTTTGCAGTACCATATAGGTCTGTCCTGCATGTGTACCATCTAGTGGTCAGTCTGAGACTTGGGTGGAGGTGTCCTTTCTAGTTGAGTTTCCAAATCTTTGGTATGCTAATGAATATCAAAGCAGTCACAAGTCAGAGGTAAGCCCAGGGGTTCAAATCAACTTTACACTGTTGCTTTTTCAAAACTCTTCCCTCTCCTTTATCTTTTCAGTACTTTCCAGTTCCCTGGGCTCTCATTTTCTGTTTTCTCTTCAAAAACTACCCACTGTTATGGTTGTAGCATTTCCAGAAACAAGTAGCAGGAGGAGAGAGTGAGAATGAGAGAGGGAGAGGGAGAGGAAGAGGGAAAACTAGTATAAAGATGTCTTCTTGACATCGTGGCTTCACCTAGAGGAAGGAACTTATCCCACACAGTTTTGATTCCTGGAGGCTCCCATTCTGGGCCACTATTGCTTCTGAGCCACCTTTGCTTTTACTACCTCCACTGTGGAACCAAAGGAGGAGTTAATAAAAACCCAAGGGATTTCCCCCACTCTCTCTGAATTTTAGTTCTCTGTTACATTCCTTGAGCCCAAACTCCAAGACTTCTCCTGCATCTCTGTCTGCTAGACAATGCTCATTTTGAATTGCATACCATGTTGAATTCAGGCTCAGGATACTGAATGGGGAGAAAAGTAATGCTGAATTTGCAGTTGTTTAGTTGGTACTTCAAACTCTGGTGTCTTCTCTGATCTACCTACTTAGATTTACCTTTCAATTTTCATATAGTTGTTCATGCATTCTCTCAGAATTTTATATTTGAGTTAGTGAGAGATAAAAGGTCTGAGAATTGGACCCAACTATATATGTTTTGTAAACGGCATGTAGTTGGATCCTACTTTTTAATCTAATCTGACCACTTCCGTCTTTAGTTGGAATATTTAGTTGATTCACATTTAAAGTGATTATCAATATAGTTAGATTAAAATCTACCATCTTTCTATTTTCATTATATTTGTTCTTGATGTTTTCTATTTACTGTATTTGGCTTTTGTTTCCTTTTTCCCTCTTTTTTCTGCCTTTCATTATTTTATTTGGTCATTTTGTATGATCCCATTTTGTCTCATGTATTTATTTATTATTTAGACATCTTTTAAGGAAACCTTTTTAGTGGTTTCCGGAAAGTTTGTAATGTACATTTTTATATAATTTGGTTCACCTTTAAATAATACTGTACTGCTTCATGTGTAGTACAAGACTATCCCCAATTCCTTCCTTCCATTGTTTGTGTCATTGTTGTATTCTATTATTTTTTTACAAATGCTATAAACATACAATACATTGGTACTATTATTGCTTTAAACAATCAGTTATATTTTAGAACAATTAAGAATATGATAGTTATATTTGTCTTCATTTATTACTTTTGCAACACTTTTCCTTTAATTATGTACACCCAATTTTCTGACCTATATCATATCCCTCTGTCGGAAGAATTTCCTTTAATATTTAGACTGTAAGACAGGTCTGCTGATGCTGAGTTTCCTCAGTTTTTGTCCAAAAAAGCATTTTGTCTTAATTTTTGAAGGATATTTTTGCAGAACTTGGAATTCTGGATTGGCATTTTTTTCTTTCAAAACTTATAAAGGTTTCATTCCACTGTCTTTTTGCTTATGTGATTTCTGACAAGAAGTCTGGTATAATTCTTCTCTTTGTTCTTCTGTGGGTAAGATGTTCCCCACCTACCGCCTTCTTCCTGGCAGTCTTCAAGATTTTATTTTTGTCTTGATTTTCTGTAATTTGAATTTGTTATATCTGGGTGTGGGTTTTGGTTTGGTTTTGGTATTTACCCTGGTTGGTGTTCTCTGAGCTTCTTGAATCTGTGGTTTGGTGTCAGTCATTAATTTGGAAAATTTTGGCCATTATTGTCTTCACATATTTCTTCTGCCTTATTCTTTCTTCCCCTTCTTGTGTTCCAAATACATATATGTTATACTGTTTGATATTGTCCCACAGTTCTTGGATGTTTTGTTCTGTTTTCTTTTTTTTTTTTTTTTTTTTTTTTTTTTTTTTTTTTTTTTTTTTTTTTTTTTTTTTTTTTTTTTTTTTGCTCTTTTTTTTTCTCTTTGCATTTCAGTTTGTGTGATCTCTATTGACCTGTCTTCAAGTTCACTGATGACTCAGCTGTGCGGAGTCTACTGATGAGCACATCAAGGATAGTCTTCAGATCTGTTACTGTGTTTTTTTCTCTCCCATTTGTATTTGATTCTTTCTTATACTTTTCACCCCCCTGCCGAAATTACCTATCTGATCTTGCATGATAAACTTTCCCAACAGAGCCTTTAACATACTAATCATAGCTATTTTAAGTTTCCTATCTGATAAAGATGAAAACAGTAGACAAAGGAAATTCCAAAAGGGGGAATGGGCAGGGGGGAGCAAGAGTTGAAAAACTACCTATTGGGTACTGTGTTCGCTATTTGGGTAATGGGGTCACTAGAAGCCCAAACCCCACCATTACACAATATACCCAGGTAACAAACCTGCACATATAACCCCTGAATCTGTAATGTACAAAAAAGAAAGCAAAATAATCCAAGTAAATAAACAGATTCCTTGTCTGATATTTCCAACATCTGTGTCATAACTTATTTTGGTCCTAATGATTGCTTTTCTCTTCAGACATTGTTTTTATTCCTTGCCTTGATTCTTCCCTTTGTGCTACACCCTGGAGATAATATATGCCTTAAATCTCGTATAGATGTATTCCACTGTTATTTTTACTGATGCTTTTTAGCCTGGTAGTGGGCGAATGGGGACCTGGGACATTCTATGCTATTCTCATTAAGTCTCAGTCTTAGGCAGGCTTACCCTGAGTGTTGGAGGTGTGTCCCTCACAAGTGTACCTGCCTCTCCTCCTGTGTTCTAACCCAGGTGGGCCTAGCACATTTTCCTGCCCCTCCCGGGTTAGACTTTTTTTTTTTTTTTCAATTTTCTCCCCCAGCTGTAGTGAGTTTTCACCAGTGTACCTCAGTTTCTGTTGCCCTTTCTTCTAAGGACTAAGACATTTTTCCCTTTGGGAAGATAAAGTAGATTGGTATGGGCAGAGTTTCAGTGATGTTGGTCAGTCTGCTCTGCTAGCTGCAGTGAGTTTCTCCCAGTACTTTCAAGCTAGTTTTTGTTGCCTTTTCCCTGAATAGTAAGGCTTTTGCTCCATAGAGAATATAGGGAAAATAGTCTGTGCAGAATTTCAGCAATGGCTATTGTACTGTTCTCCCCAAACCAGAACTACAGGATATCTTTCTCAGGATTCTTCTCAGTCTTTCTTGTCAGCTTCTGGGGGAGTTCCTGGAGGAAAACTCTGCAAAGGGGTGCAAAACTGCCTATGTCTGCAGCCCCTACAGGCTTCACATTCTCACACTAGCCCATAACCAGCCTCTAGCAATTCATCATAATTTTTAGCTGAATCTTCTTATGAGTTTGTATGTTGTTCACTGGTATCTGCACCAGGTAAGCAAATGCCTGGTCCTGTGGCTCCCTTGAAGATGGTTGTTTCTACAGGTTTGTGGTACTACAACCTCAGTTTTCTGATGAGTCTGAGAGAAGTTCTTAATTTTCACTTTCCCAGCTTTTGTTCTTATTGTAATGGTGGGAGATGTGTTCTTTACAACTCTACATTTCTGACCTAATACCAGAAGAGCATATGAATCTGAGGATAAGCTTTTGAGGGTCTGTTTGTCTTTCAGCATCCATACCCCAGTTTACCAATTCCCCCACGATGGTGATCATGGTGGGTTTACCAGCTCGAGGCAAGACTTATATCTCCACGAAGCTCACACGATATCTCAACTGGATAGGAACACCAACTAAAGGTATGTCTCTGAAAGTCTTTGTTCAACAACCCCATAAAAGCCACTGGCTGAAAACCTTACTTAAGTAGAAGGCCAAAGTCCTCAATACCAGAAATGCCTCATCATTATTATTATCAGCAGTAGGACTACTGCTATCACTATTACTACATTCTTATACAGTTTATAACTTCTTGAGCACATACTTTGTACCCAACACCACTCTAGGTGCTAAGCATAGGAAAACTAGTGTTAAGATTAAATGTCTTCTCTCAAGAAGTTCCATGACCTCGAAACAACCCTGTGAGTAACATTCTATTTTTATTGCCATTACTATTATTGCCATACCAATATTACTACTTTTATTAGCATTACCACTTCTTCACCATTTCATAGTTGAGGAAATTGAGGCCCAAGGGGTGAAGTGCCTTGTCTAAAGGCATATGGCCAGTAAGTGACAGAATCAGGATATGAACCCAGGTCTATTTGATTCTAAGCCTGATACTGTGCCAAGTCTAGTGCATGGTTCTACTGATTGGAAGAGAAAAGAATCCCACATTAGCCCTATAGTCTCCTTTTCTCCATTCTTTTTGTCTCCTTCTTTCTCTTGTTAATCTCAACATCCTGTCTCTCTGCCCTGCTTCCTTCTATCTCTCCCCCTCTTCCTTCCTCTCCCCAATTTGTTTCTTTTTCCCATTTCTTATTTCCATTCATCTATGTTCTCTTTATCTAATTCACTGGTGAAGAGTTTCCCAATAGTTTTCCATGTGCCCAAACTCCTGCTAGGCAATGAGGATACAAAACTGGATGAGACTCACCCTGTCCTTGAGGAGTTCTAAGTCTAGCTGGGATGTATAAGAATACCTCATATCATCTAGGAATTCTAGAACAGGAGCAGGGTGCTGCATGAAATCACAAAGGGATTTGACAACTGGAAGGCAAGGAAAGCTTCCTACATAGGATATGTTTGAGCTGAGTCTTGTGGGAGGAATAAGACATTGGCAGAAGGGAAGGAGAGAAGGAACAGCTCTCATGGAGGACTGCAAGCTCTCAGGAAAATCTGCTGAGTGTAGAGGTACATGGGACACTGGCAGATTGGTTTCTGCCTTAAGGGCCCCATAATGGGTTCAGGGTTTCTGATTCCCCTGCTTTCTATCTTCTTCACTCCACTCAATTCTCTCAAAGGCCTCCAGAGTTATATTTCAAAGCACAAAGCTGAACATGCCCGTGACCTCCAAAGGTCCCCTTGGCCTGCAGGTTTAAATCCATAGTGGATGACTCACCATCCTCCAAACGTGCTCTTCCTTCTGCCAATGCCATACTCTTGCTCAAACTGTTCCTCTACCTGAATGCCTTTGTTCCTGACTCCCACTGCCCATATCTGCCTGTAAAAGGCGCCTACCCTAAAAAGCCTTGTTCAAATGGTGAAACCTTCTCAGATCATTCCAAGTACAATTAGTCTTTCCTTCCCTCTCACTCTCTTCCATGGCTTCATATTGTCTTTGTCAGAGCATTTAACAAACTCTGTGGGAGCTCTCCATTTACTGGTTTACTCACTGTCTTACCTGTTGGACCGTGAGTGCCTTAAGGGCCCCATCATGAAGATCGGGCTAATCCCTGAGACCCAGAGCTCATATCCTGCTTCACAGAGTAGGAATCAAAAAGTATTTGTTACATGAATGAATGAAATATTAACTCTTTGGCTGCTTATCTTCTTTCTCCTCCTTTCCTTCCCTCCTCTCTAGTTTTTCATCATTGTAAGTGGGAAAGTATGGCCTAGAGATTTAGATTTAGAATCTTCATCATAATATAGAAAAATAAAACAACTTTGGACTAGAAGTCAGGAGGTCCAGTCTATATCTGTCACCAGCTCACTCACTGTTTGACCCTTGGTGATTAATTTTACTCCCTAGATCTCCATTTCTTCATCTTTCCACCGGAGTAGGGCATTTTAAGGATTGGTGTTTATGATAAAGTAGAATAATGGAAAGACCATCAGCTATGTTGCCAAATAGACCTGGGTTTGAATCTCAGATATCCACAGATAGGAAATAATTGTGCAAGTTTTTCCTATCTCTGAACTTTCAGTTTCCTCATTTATAAAATGGTAATAGTGGTCTCTACTTTGCAGGGCTGTTGTGAGGAACAAATAAACTGGTAGCCATAATTTGAAGTTTTAAAAGCAATTTTATAGCTACAAATTATACCTTCTTCCACCTCTGAGGTCCCTCCCAGCAAGGACATTTTTTGGCCACTGGGATCTTCCCAACCTCTTCACTGGTGCTCCCTGCTTTCAGTATTTAATTTAGGCCAGTATCGACGAGAGGCAGTGAGCTACAAGAACTATGAATTCTTTCTTCCAGACAACATGGAGGCTCTGCAAATCAGGAAGTAAGTACCCAATATTTTAGGAATCTGTGCTGTCCCGTGGCTGAAAGGCCCTTGTTCAGATACTGGGGGAGTAGGGCAGAATAATCTGGACCAGAAAGGTGGCCCTCTAGAGTCTCAAACAGTAGTTGGAACAGCCCTTCCATTATCCTGCCCAAAGCCTGTTTCTGGTCATAACCATCCACTTATCAAAAACCTTTAATGGTCTTCTACTTCTGACAAGAGAGAGTAGAAACTTCTCAGCTTAGCATTTGAGGCAAGAATCTCAATAGCTTGGCCTACTCTAGTTTCTGTAGTCTCATCAGTTCAACCTCAAGGTCTGTCTACACTGCAAGACGCTGAGTAAAGGCAGACTAGAGCCTGGGCCTTATGCCCTCAATATAGAACCCAGCAGTGAGTAATCACTAAAGAGATTTTTGCTGAAAGCATAAATTCATTGCCACTGTCACGCCTGTGTGTTACCCATGCCAGGAATGCCTTTTATTTCACAGACCACATGCTCTACCTGGGTTCATAGAACAGTTCAGCTTGAGTTCCATTAGCTCAAGGGTTGGAAGCCTTAATATTATGGCTTCTGTCATTGCTCAGCTTTTCCTGATTGTGTCACTTTATACCTGCCCCTAAGCTGTGTAAGCTGTGCACATACAGCCACTTTCAACTGTTTGACCCCTCTGTGCTTAGCACGGTGCCTAAAGCACAGGGCACATAAGTTAGTCTAAGACATGAGAGATGATACAGAAGATACTGCAGACAATGAGAGAGGAATCCATCCTGAGTGATAAGGGTTGTCTCTTTTTCTTTCCTGGTCTATTTCAGGCAGTGCGCCCTAGCAGCCCTGAAGGATGTTCACAACTATCTCAGCCGTGAAGAAGGTCATGTCGCGGTAAAGAAATTTGTTATTTTTTCCTTGGGTATCTACTGGGAAGGGAATTAGCTAATATGTACTGAACATTTACTGTTGTTCTGAGTATTTGCATATATTAATAATTTCATTTTATGCTCCCCCCTTGAGGTAGGTATTGTTATTATGCCCCATTTCAGAGCCCAGAAGAATGGTTCACAGACACATTAAATAATTTCCCAAGGTGGTACAGCATATACCTGGCAGGGCCAGAAATGGAATCCAAGTTGTATAGCTTCAGAATCCCCACTCTTAACCACTGTGCACTACCAGTCCACCCCCAATAATTCAGCAGGACTATATTAGAATTTAAAACTGCAGTACAAACAGTTTTGAGTTCTAGAGACCTACCTAAATATCTAGTCAATAGTTTAGCTAGGATTTGCAAATTCTGAAAGGGGAGGAGATTCTCAAATATGCAAATGGTCCAATCTCAGGTACTGAGGCTAGGGAATTGTTTCTTGTTCTTGAGGACTTCTAAAGTGATAAGGAAGGAAGAAGCTTCAGCTAGGAATTGAGAGAACCAGTTCTAGCTCTGCTCTGTCAGCAACTCTCAGTGACTTTGGTCAAGGCAAGTTCTTCTAGGCCTCAGTTACCTCACCTATAAAATGACCCTAATAAACACCCACAATTTCCTCTTGCCTTATTACACTCACAGGGTAGCATACATTTCTGGACAGACCACAAGGGCCCAATATGTGCTTGTGAAATTGTCATAAGCCAATCATGAATCCTTCCTATCCTTCAAGACCTTGTTCAAGTTTTACCTCTATATGGAAGCCCTCCACTTAGCACAGGGATGGGCAAAGAGTAGGTGTTCTGTTAGCACCAGATTCAGAGTAATCCAATCTCATTACCTGCCTCTAGGTTTTTGATGCCACCAACACTACCAGAGAACGGCGGTCACTGATCCTGCAGTTTGCAAAAGAACATGGTTACAAGGTATGGTAACACTCCAACTCTTATTTAGAGCCTATTTCTCCAGCACAAACCCCAAAGAAAGGCAAACCAGGGGACTCAGAGCAGCCAAATCCACAACCATAAGCTCAACATTTTAATTTGGTTCTCTAACTTTCCAGGATATAGTCAGAAGCAGCAAAACAGAACAAGAAAGGAGGGGTGCCACATTAGGCAATGGAAGATGACTGCAGACAGGCTGGCTATGGGGAAAGAGTGGAGAGAGTCACTACAAAAAGCTTATATAAGACCTAAGTAAAGATATAAAACAACAATCTGGGGTCATTCAGTTTAGAGCCAATCTGCCTCATGAAACTCAGAAGCCTGAAAGTACCACTGTATGAGAGCATTATGTTGTCAGAGATGCCCCTGGAGATGATTTAGAACCATTGAAAAGGAGTAAAGCTATGTTCAGCTCCTATCAAACATAATTTCTTGCTGGAAGTCTCTTTTCTGTTTCTTTTATAGGTGTTTTTCATTGAGTCCATTTGTAATGACCCTGGCGTAATTGCAGAAAACATCAGGGTAAGGACCACCAGTTACTTTTCCACTTTGCTCTGCCTTAGGCTTAGATCATGCCTAAGGCAGAGGTGAGATTATGCTTAAGGCAACTCCATGAGATTAAAGAAAGTATTCCTCCCTGATCTTCTCCTCCTAGTTTTTGTAGGAAGCATTCCCTAACCATCCTGGCCTACAATGACTCTATTAATTTTAACGAAGCCAACATATATAGTGCCCTTTCTATGCTCCAGATACCAGACTTGACTGTCATTAATTTTCACAACAAAACTGCATATTACAGATTATTTCCATGTTAGAGAGAGGAAACTGAGGTTCCAAAAGGATAAATGAATTGTCAAAGATTCATACAGACAGAAAGGGATAGAAGTGGGACTGGACCTCAGGCTTGGCTGTCTGCCTCAAAAGCCTACATTTTTTATTCTACCCCAAAATTCATACCAGAACTACCACTGCTCTTAGATTCTAGGCATGTGGTCTAAAACTAGGTCATTTACCACGTTTTGTTGTTCCCCACTTCATCAAATTACTGGAGCTCAAGAACAGAAGAGACCTTAAGGGCAATTTTCTTCTACCCTCCATCAGATACTTGAAGTCTTACCTAAATGTATATCTAGATTTTCTTTTTATACCTGCAATGATAAGGGGCCCATTGCTTTCAACGAATGCGGTCCAGTCAAGCTGGAATCTGCCTCCTTGTAATTTTTATTAATTGGTAATTTTTTTAACCTTTTGGGGCATACAGCATGTTCATTTCCTCCCTTCCCTCTTCATCCTCCCATCTATCTATCTATCAATTCAACAGAAATTGACTATATACCTGGACTTGGCCATTCCGGGCATTAGAGACATACATATGGATAGTGGAGAGTCCTTCCCTTGAGCATGTATTCTAGTGAGGAAGACTGGCAAGTATATGTACAGAACTCTGAGAACTGAGGTGATATGAGGGAACAGAGGAAGCTTTGGGAAGACAGTGCTGAGGGCCTAACTTTGCATGGGGGCAGAAATCAGGGAAGCCTTCCTAATGGAGGTAAAATTAAAACGAATAAGGATATATGCGATTGTTATTACAAAAGTGTTCTTCACACATGAATGACACTTCAGTTTCCAATGACCTTGAAGAACACATAGGAATTTGGTGCGTGAAGAATGGAAAATAAGGATATAAGCATATACTAAGTATGGCATCTCCGGAGAACTATAAGTAGCTTAAATTGGTTAAAGTCAAATGTGTGGAGGAATAGGGGAGCCATGGGAGATAAGGTTGAAGAAATAATTTGGGGCCCAATCATGACAAGCCATGAGCTGCCTGCTAAAATAATTCACACTTTTTTTCTAAAAGTTATGACAAAATGTATAAGGGCTTTAAGCAGGAGAATACTTTGGCCAGATATTCATATTAGAAATACCCTTCTGGCTGCCAGTATGGTGAATACATTAGAAGTAAAAAATATATAGACAAAGTAATTGGGCACACAGCTATAGTGAGCACAAGCAAGAATGAATGGATATTTAGAGGAGATGATAGAGTGGAGAGGATTTGGTACCTGCTAAGAGGTGAGGGATGATAGAAAGACAGACATCTAGGATGACTCCCAGGTTCCATTTAGGAGCAGATGATGGGGTAGGTGATAGTGCCAGTACCTGAGATGAGGACTGTGGGAGGAGACAGTGGGTATTGGTGAATTAGGAGAGGCCAGTCTTCAGAAATCCAAAGACAGCATGTCATAATCTCCCGGTAAACACTTGATACATGTAAGCCGTAATGACCCCTGGACAAGATCTCTGGTTCCACTTCTTCAGCCATTTCTCACATCACAATTTCTGGTCCTCTTATAAATGTTCTTCTTTTATAAACAGTGTATGCTCTGCGACTGAGTATAATGTAACAGGCTTTCTTTGAGATTAGGAATGAGGAGTCACACAACCAGCTTCTTTTCAATTGGCTGATTTTTGTAAACTTAGGCAAGATGTGTTCTCCAGGTCTCAATTTCCTCATCTTTATAATGAGGCATCTTGTACTCAGTGGTCTCTAAGAACCTTCCAAAGAAAACCATCAGAGACTCTGTCTCACAATGTCTCCCTTGATACCTCTGTTCTCCCTGATCCCAGCAAGTGAAACTTGGCAGCCCCGATTATGTAGACTGTGACCGTGAAAAGGTTCTGGAAGACTTTCTAAAGAGAATTGAGTGCTATGAGGTCAACTACCAACCCTTGGATGAGGAACTGGACAGGTAAGAGCCAGCACCCCAAAGTCAAGGTCTAGATCTTTTGCCCAGTTTTGATATCCTGTAGAACCTGGAGGGAATATCCTCCCTTTCTGAGCCTCAGCTTCTCTATCTGTAACATCAGGAATCTGAACTTGATTATCTTTCTTCAAGGATCCTTTCAGCTCTGATTCCTTGATGTGTAAGGTGTTCCTAAGATGATTAAAATAGTGTTTTCCTGAGCAATATGAACAGTTCAGGACCCCCTCCTGAACAGAACAAATGCCCCCATCCTGTGGGTGTTGCGATTATTATTACAAAAGTGTTCTTCACACATGAATGGCACTTCAGTTTCCAAACATGTTTACCTTCTTTCTTACATTTAATCCCTTAGGACTCCTGTAAAGGAGGCTGAGATAAGTCTTATGATCATAAAATTTCAGGAAAAAGAAATTGAGTCTTAGAGAACTGAAATTACTTTCCCAAGCTCCCATCACAAGGGGTAGAGCTAGGATTCTAATTACATGTTCTGTCTCTTAGTCATGTCTCTTTTCACAACATTCCCATGTCTCATCAATCAACAAGTATTTGGACCCTTTGGGCTGTGGTATATGTAGGGGGTATAAATAGGGGCAAAAGAGGTGGGTTCTATCCTCGGGTAGCTTCTATAGTGCTTTGACATATGAGAACACCCATTAAAAAAAAAAAAAAAAAAAAACAAGAAATGCTCTGTCATAATACCAACTAAAGATAGGAGAGAGCAGATGTGAGTTTTAGATGTAGAATGTTCCCAGAACCCTACTCTCTTTGAAAATGTGTTGTGATGAGAAGAGACCCCAAGTGAGAAGTATAAAGAGGCTTCAAATGGTCATCACCACTCTAAGAAATCTAAAGAGTGGCCTTACCCAATTGAAGTACCGAGAGATCAGCACTGTTATTGCCCCACTCTTTAGATGGAGAAACTGAGACCCAGATCAAATCAAAGGCTTACTTTGGGCTACACAATGAACGAATCAGTAGCACAATATCTGTTCGAACCCATATCCCAGTTGTGCAGATTGTTCATTGCACAGGCACCCTAGTCAAGGGTACACTCGCTTCTCTCACCAAGATGTGTGCTGAAGTAGGGCTGTGTGACCCTGAGGAAAGTACGGCTTTTGAAAATTATCACAAAGGAATGACATGGGCTAACAGCATATGGTGAAAGGAGCCTGAAGGCCGGAGTGGAGGGTGTAAGTGAAAGAACGGCATTGACAAAGCCCCAGCCCTGGGCCCAGACCCTGCGGTTGCTAGGTTGCTGTTTGATGAATTAGTTTGGGCCAGAAGAAGACAAATCTAGAAGGTCAGCTTTATGTCATCATTTTTCTATCAACAGACATTTACAGTCTATGCATCAGGTCCCAGCCCTGAACATGGAATCAAAAGAGGAAAGGGCTGTCCCTGATTTGACAGAATGTCCAGTTAGTTGGAGAAGACAATGAGTACACAGTTGGTCACAACTCTGGTGACAGTAAACCAAGTGGGCTGTAGAAACATGGGACCCTGTCCAACTTGGAGGAAGAAGGTCTAAAAGAGCTTGATTACCCAATAAGCAGACTACACATAGGGTACCAGCAAGATAGGGGCTACCAAACTGAGAAAAAGAACTATCTTAAAAACTCTTATTTATTTATTTATTTATTTATTTATTATTTTATTTTATTTTATTTTATTTTATTTTATTTTTGAGACAGAGTCCCGTTCTGTCACCCAGGCTGGGGTGCAGTTACATGATCTTGGCTCACTGCAACCTCTGCCTCCTGGGTTCAAGCAATTCTCCTGTCTCAGCCTCCTGAGTAGCTGGGATTACAGGTGCCCGCCACTGCACCCAGCTAATTTTTATATTTTTATTAGAGACAGGGTTTCACCATGTTGACCAAGCTGGTCACTAACTCCTGACCTCAAATGATCTGCCTGCCTTGGCCTCCCAAAGTGCTGGGATTATAGGCATAAGCCACTGCACCCAGCTGGCTTAAAGGCTTTTATAATATTGGATATTTCAAAAACAGCATCAAGGTAGTCAAAGTGGAAAAATATAAAACCAGAACTTGGGAGAATCTCCCCATATTCTATAGTTTATAATTTTTATTTTAAATAAAAATTTAAAACTTTTTTTTAATTTTTAAAATAAAATTAAAAATTTGGATGGAGGTAGGCATTAACTACTCTACTATTTTTGGTGTGGAACACCTCTAAATGACTTCACATGATCCTGGTCTCAAAAAAGGCTTCCTAAAGAGTGAATATGCTGATTCTTGAGGTATGAATGCATAGCAGCTCAACTTTGGAAATCAGGCAAAGAGAATAGCACTTTGTAAGTGCCTAGTTAAATCTGAACAAGAGTAGAGAAATACAGAAAATATTCCAAGTGTAATAGCAAAAGTGTGAAGACAAGAATGAAACAGAGAAGATATGGGTATGGGCATGGGACCATAAAGTGAGGCCAACCGGGCCCAGTGTGAGAAGGCAAAACCAGAAAATCAGACTAAGCTGAGGAATTTGGAAGCTCCTAGAGCCTCAACGGACCTAGTGTTAGGAACAGACAGTAGCCAGGCCACAAGTTTGCATCAGATATTTTCTACCCCTAGGCTCTGAGGGTTCTAGAAGAAATTACTGGAGGGGGGAGTATTCTGGGGTTCTTCCCGAGAAGGTGGCCTTGGGAAAATCACTTTCTCTATGCCTCGGTTTCTTCACCTTTAAAACAGAGGTGATAATCTCTGCTCTGTAGTAATATTATGAGGATTCATGTGCTTAAAAGTTCCCACTCCCTGCCAGATGCACAGAAAATATTCAACAAATACAAGTGTCCTGTGGAAGCCATTGGGCACAGGTGGGCATGATGAGTGTGGTGCAGCATAAAGGACTTCTCTAGGAAAATCTAGGGAGAGGCTTTCTGAAACCAAACCTGTCGGCAACCTTACCTGCCTCGGGTTAGTGCAGTGCAGCTCTTTCTATTCACTTGGTTTTGTTACCATGCAACCAGGGCTGCTGGTGTCACCCCATTGCCCCAGCCTTCCACTCCTCTTCCTAGGGATTTCTCCGAACTCTGTACAGGCCAACAACTAAACGAGTTAATGCCTGGTACAGTGTAGGCCTCAGAAGTCTTGCTCCATGTTTCTAGTCTTCTGATTAGTCAGTGCCTACACTCCACCCTCCAGCTTCTACACAAACAGGTGGTTGAACAGTTTGAATATCATTCAGTGTATAGGTATTAGTTCATGACAGAGCACAGAATTGAGGCTACGGTAAGGAACTTGGGACAAGGACCACAAGTTCCCCAATGATGTTGTGGACCACCTCTGTAACCCCATGCCACACTACTTGGCACACCTTAGAGGGAATGACTGTTTATGGAATGAATGTTGAGCACTGATCATGTGTTTCCAAGTATTTGTTCCTGACTGGCCAGAGAGCTCCCAAAGCACAGACACTGGGTCTCCATGCCAAGCACAATGCCTAGAACACAGGAGTATGTTTGGAGTATGTTTGTTGACTGCATAGCAAATAGGAAAATAACCCAGGCCAACCCCCCCTTCTGAGTGAGGAGAGAGACACACACACGCACAGACACACATATGCACACAGACGCAATCTGGTAGTTGTGTGTTGAGTATAAAGGACAATATGTAGCAAAGGCTAAAAAAAAAAAGAGAGAGAGAGAGAGGTAAAGAGCTCAACTCAGGATCAGAAAGGGTAGGGGAGTGAACAAGTCAGGAGCTGCCAGTAAGACATTAGAGTTAGCCAGGGATACAAAGGATTACTGCTTCTCTCTGACTATGTTAGGGATGTGAACCCCAGAAGAGAGAACCCAGCTGCTTGTAAGAGGATGAGTGAAAAGGCAGTTTGGCTCAAGCTGAGGCTGAAGGAAGGAGACAGGGGGAAATAGCATATAATGAGCTCCTTTGGGTGGCCAATAACCAAGTCTCTAGGACAGGTACTCGGTACAGGGCAAGGCATGGCATCACATTAGGTGACAGCTGGGTTGTGGAAGAGGTTTGAAAGGGTGTGTGGTTCGGGGTTTCTTTCGGGGTCAACCCTACCACCATTAGCCCCTGAGCTGCCCTTGCTCCTGCTTGGGTCTGGCCCAGCCACCTGTCCTACATCAAGATCTTCGACGTGGGCACACGCTACATGGTGAACCGAGTGCAGGGTCACATCCAGAGCCGCACAGTCTACTACCTCATGAATATCCACGTCACACCTCGCTCCATCTACCTATGCCGGCATGGTGAGAGTGATCTCAACCTCAGAGGCCGCATCGGAGGTGACTCTGGCCTCTCAGTTCGTGGCAAGCAGGTAGGGTGGACCACATACACCCAGATGGGTTGGCTGGGCTGTCCTAGGTGGGCTGGAGGTGTAGTGGTGGCCACATTCTGGGTCCTGAGGTGGGATGACCCAGGGATGGGGTAGAAGCAGATTCCATCACTCCTACTCTTCCATCCATCAGCTACTCAGTCTCTTCCCAGCCGCCGAATGGTTCCCTATGCCACCTGTTCTGCAGGTCTAAGAGCTTGGCCTTGGCACCCAAGGCCTGCCCAAAGCCAGCTGCTCCATGACAGTGACTCTCTTTGCCCTTCCTGACTGGTTCCATCATCTTTCTCACAACGTTGTGCCTTTGCTGGTGCAGCTCCCCCACCTAGTCTACCCTCTTCTGTCTCCTCTGTCAGTGGGTGACCATCAGTGGCACAGACAGCTGCCCTGAGAGACCCATCCTTGAACCACTCTTCTCCCCAATTCTGCCCTCCCCACCCCACCCCAACACAGGTGTCACACTGGCAGCCCCTGTCCCCACCCATGACAGTGTCCTTCCTGCCCTCCCCACTCCCTTCCAAGGCCCAGCACCTGCTCCGGAAAGCCCTCCCCATCCTCTCCTCCCTCCCAGGCAGGTTGCTATGCCCTGGGCTCCAGCTCTCCCAGTTCTGGCCCATGTGTGGCTCTCCTGGCCTGAGTGTCTTCTCCCCAGCCCAGCACAGTGACCTGCATGTTCTGGTTGCTGGCTAAATACAGGGGTCCATTTCCACAGCATTTGGTCCTGCACCTGGGCTTGTTAGCACAGGTATTGTTCCTGCTGGCAGGACCACTTGGGGATGGAACAGGTGGGAAATGAAGTGCAGGATGGACAATTGTTGTCATGATTGTCATTTATTGGACACCTATGCAGTCACGGTGCCATCTGCTTCTGCATGTGTGGCTCATTTCATCTTCACCACAGGTCTGTGGGGTGGGCATTCCTACCACCAGTTTATGGATGAGGAAGCAGAGAGCAGCCCCAGGGCAGGTGGCCAGGATGAGACAGAGCCAGGGCTGAAAGCAGGGCCTACTGACCTGCCCTCAGCTCCCCCACTGGAGATGGGGGGTGCCCCAGGCAAGGCACTACCCTGGATGGCCACGCCCTGGTGTCTCCCTTTCTGTTACCTCCAGACTGACAGCCTCCCCTCAAGGTAGACTCTAACCTGTGACTCCCTCATGTCCCACTCCTCAGAGCAGAGTCAGAGGCTGCTGGAGGTGTGACCTCGGCCCATGGCAGCCCCTGCAGCCAGGGCCATCTTGGGTGGAGCCAGCCTGGCCCTGCCCACACAGCTCGGAGCCCAGTTGGACACATGGCTGTCTCCACAGGGCATGCCCCCCTGCACACAAACCTGTGTGTGTGTGCATGCACACAGCTGATGCCACCTTCACGCTTCTCACAGAGCACCAGGCCCAGTTTACAAAGCACCTCCCTGTCGAGATAGCTCTCACTTGTGCAGCACCCACTGTGTACCAGGCTGTGGTCGGGGTACTCCCCATCCACTATCTGAAGTGCAGCCCCCAGACAGCAGGCCAGGTGAGCCGGTGCTCTTTGGATATGAGGCCAGGGAGGGGCAGGGATGTGTCTGACGGCACAAGGGACCATGTAAGGGTGCTGAGGGAGTTTAACCTATGGCTCCTACCTCCCTGTCAAGGGCTCCTTCCACCGGAGCATACTGACTCCTGACTCATTTCCATAATGAAATGTATGTATGAAACACCTATATCTGCATATAAAAATGTGTGCCTGGACCTATGCACCTGTGCAGATGTTCCTAACACATGCCATCAGTGGTTAACAACACACCTATACACAGAGGAGGAAATCACTAGCTCCTCTGGGCTCCCACAGCCCTTTATGGTTCCCCTCGGTGCTGCCAGTGTTTCCCTCACTGGACTGGCCATGTCTTGAGAACAAGAACACCCCAGCACCCAGCACAGGGCCATGAACACTCAATACATGTGTGAATGTCCCTAGAACCTGGGTACCAGGAACCCTGCTTAAGCGATAAGTGTTCACAGTGTCAAAAAGTAAAGTCTCCCAAATGCCACAACCCCTACTTCCAGTCCATACTCTGGTACCCCCAACCCTAGAATTCTTTGCCCTTGTTGTCTAGAGTCTGCTTTCAGTGCCTACATGGGCCTATCCCAGAGTCTGTCCACCTGAGGTCAGGCCATATAACACGACCAAGGGGTTGCTGTTTGTGGAGCATGGGGATCAGTGGAGGTGGAAATGTGGACAGAACTCAGTCGTGTGACTTGGTTATCCACAAGCATATACTAAAGGCACATAGAAGTGCAGGATAGAGCCAGAAATGGAGAGATAGACTGTGCATGGAGTGCCTCCATTGGTACTCTTGTCCCAGGCTCCACAAATATTAGAGGTGGGCCTGTTTGAATGAATGAATAACCAAGTAGGGTCTTTGGTGAGCAATCATCAATGAGCGCGCGCGCACACACGCACTCTCTCTCTCTCTCTCTCTCACTCACTCATGCTCTTTTCTATTCCTTTGGCCTACCATCACATGGGAAAGAGTATGACTTTTTATAAATTTGGAACATTTAAACTCTTTGCTCTGCTTGTTCATCACCACTTAATTTGTGGCAGATCTGAGCTTGTTCTTATGGCCACCCTGCTCTCTCTCACCTCTCCTTTTCCCCTTCTCTCCTCCTCTGCATCCCCACGCACTAGTATGCCTATGCCCTGGCCAATTTCATTCAGTCCCAGGGCATCAGCTCCCTGAAGGTGTGGACCAGTCACATGAAGAGGACCATCCAGACAGCTGAGGCCCTGGGTGTCCCCTATGAGCAGTGGAAGGCCCTGAATGAGATTGATGCGGTGAGATGCATGGGGTGAATCTCCTGTGTGGAGGGGGTGACTTGAGTCTGGGATTATCCCCTGGGTTGCCTCTGCTCCAGCCCCTATGGGGAGCCTAATTAATTCAACAAACTTTTTTGACAACTAGCCATGTGCCAGACCTTATTCTATGTCTTGGGGATCCAGTGAAGGCCAGAATAGACAAAGTCTCTGCCCTCATCCTAAAGACAGACAGTAAATAGGACATTACATCTCAGTGTGACAAAGGGCTATGAGAGGAAAAGTAGAAGAGATTATGGAGGATCAGAGGGTGAGGGTGCTCCTGACTCAACTTGGTGGTGGGAGATTTACAAGGAAAGCTTCTTGGAGGAAGCTAGAGGTGACATAAGAAGGAGGCGAAATGGTCTGGGGAGTGGGGAAATAAATTTAATTCAGAGACAAAAAATAGCTCATGTGAAGACCCAGAGATAAGAAGAGAGCATGGCAAGTTCAGGGAACTGAAGGAAAGAATAGCACAGAGGCTGGGACAGCAATAGTGAGATCTGGAGAAAAGGGAGATGAGGCTTGAAAGGAAGCCAGGCCACCAGGCTTTATAGTTCATGTTGAGGGATTCAAATGCTGCCCTAACAACAATGAGATGCCATTGATGGGGTCCACATCAAGTAGGAGTAGTCTGACTGTGATGCACATTTTTAAAGAAAGCCCACTCTGGGCATGTGTGGAAACTTGGTGGGAAGAAGGCCAGAATGAACATGTAGACCAGTAAGAAGTTGATTGCATTAGTCTGGTAAGAGGTGGGGGCATGTTGGACCAGAGTAGTGGCATTGGAGATGAAGTGAAGGACTTTGGGAATGTTTCAAAGGTGGAATCAGGTCAGGTGCAGTGGCTCATGCCTGTAATCCCAGCACTTTGGGAGGCCTAGGTGGGAGGATCACTTGAGCCCTGGAGTTGGAGACCAGCCTGAGCAACATAGTAAAACCCCATCTCTACAAACAATTTGAAAATTGGCTGGGTGTGGTGGTGCATGCCTGTGACCTCAGCTACTCAGGCAGCTGAGATAGGAAGATTGTTTGAGCCTGGGAGGTTGAGGCTGCAGTGAGCTGTGATCATGCCACTGCACTCCAGCCTGAGTGACAAGCAAGGCCCTGTCTCAAAAAAAAAAATTTAAGGTGGAATCAGCAGGGCTTGATGGTGCACTGGCTGTAAGGGATGAGGAAGAGGGAGACATGAAGGACCCAACCCTGGTGGTATAGCAATCTCTCTTCAGGGTCAGGTTCTTCCATGAGCTCTTTGAGAAAGGAGCTGTTTCCTCTCCATTGTTCACCTGCACTGTAGGTACAATGGCACTGGACAGCAGCGCACAGGTTATGATTGTTAGGCATCAACATAAAAGCTTCACCACTTGTGTAAATAACTTGCGTGTGGGTAGGTTAACTTACTTACTTGCCTGCTAGATATGCCTCTATAGAAACAGACACGTATGTGTGTGTACATTCATACATATGTGTATATAAATATAGAGGTACAGAAATACACATAGCTAGAAAAGGGCTATACAGCATTGTTCTGTATACCACATACATTTGCTATAAAATATATGCAAGCAAATATGAAATTTCTTCATCATAAGTTTGGTGGCTTCTTATTTCTGGTCCACATGTGGTGTAAACATTTATTGAATCCCTCCTTATTTCAGGTTTTGGAGTGATGCTGGAGGTGGAAATTGATCTAATTCATTCCTGTCTTCACTGAATTTTCAGGCTAAATAGGGTAGACAGAGGAATAAACAGAGAAATAGAGAACAGCATATGTGATACAGGCTCTGATAGGCAAGACTATGGGTACATAGAAATTGGGGCAGGACACCTAACTCAGCCAAGATCTACCTGGAAGAAGTGATACCTAGCTGAAGCCTCAGGTTTGAGTAACAGTGAACCAAATAGAAAGGATCAAGAATGACATTCCAGGCAGAGAGACAGGGATAGGGAACTTCATAAACAAAGAGGTTGATTGGATGTGTTGAAATGCTAAGGTTGTAGTAGTACAAATGGAGAGGGAAGAAAAAAGGAATCGATTTGAGAGAGATTTAGGAGGTGGAATCTCAGAAATTGGCTATGAGGGGTGAGTGAGGAAGAAGCAAGAATTTAGGATGATGATACAGCAAGAATTTAAGTTTCTGGTTTATTTTCCATGATTAATAAAATATTAATACTTGATTCTAATGATTGAGTCTTTAAAATGTCCCTTGCATATTCTATACTAATATATTTTATTTACATTTTTCCAGTATTCAAAACACTTCTATGAAGTAGTTCTAATTCTCCACATTTTGCAGACAAGGAAAGTAAAATTTGGAGAGGTTAAGCAATTTGACTCAATAATGAGTCAATGACCATTTCTATAGGCAACAGGCTCCTAGTACTCCTCAAAATAGAAAGTTGAAGCCAATCTGGAAGGACCTCATGTACCCAGTAGGGTGCACTTTCTTCCATGGGCAGTGTGGGTTGGAGAAGTTTCACACTGCAGAGATGTTTGTGGGTTGGGGTAGGGGTTCACTTCCTCACCCCTGATGGGGGCATGGTAGATGGGCCCAGTAGACAACAACCAGAGGCCGCTGGCCCCCTACAGGGAGATTTAATTGGAATCCACATACCCAAAAGGAAACCTTAGAAACCCAACATAACTTTCCACCACCAGCAGTAGTCACCTCACCTCTGGGAGTTTCTCAGTAGACTTGGAATCTCTCATAAGCACCTTAGGAACTCATTTTCTGAGGACTCAATTCCTTTTTTGAGTGAGGAGTGTATCTCCCCCAAATCCACTCTGAAACCATTAGGAATTTATTAATTTTTCTTGTCTGAGATGTCTGTGGATGTCTGTTTATCTGCCAGAGTTCCCAAAGTAGAGGTCTTCAGACACAGGCACACAGATAACTCTCACATATACACCAGAGACATAATGAGGGACATATACATTAACAGACACACATGGCACAGACACACTGAGACCTGCATGGAAAGACCACATGGACACATTCTCCAATGCTTAGACACCCTGTACACACACACACAAACACACACGCAAGCACACAACATATGCTGAGACAAATACACAAACACGAGGCATAAGTCCTTAAACATACCACAAGTACATAAGCATGCTCCACACAGACTTGTAAACACAGCCACAAATTCTTATGCCCATATTTTTATAAAAATACATACTTATATGTATAATGTACACCTGCAGACCTATCTGTACAATCATAGAAAAACATCATACACTCAGCCTGAACACATCTATCCACATACACTCACTGTCACATCCACACAGCCGCACACCTTATACACACACACAAACACACACACACAGACACACACACACACAGACACACTTATAGATAACAGGCACAGACCCAAAGCTGTGTTCACAGAGACCCAGGTGCTCATGCGCTACTGTTCCACAATCATCGAAGAATTATGGCAAAGACTCTGTGGAATTTCATCTTGTGAATACTTTTGCCCCCAAATACTTTTTCTCAGGGTGTCTGTGAGGAGATGACCTATGAAGAAATCCAGGAACATTACCCTGAAGAATTTGCACTGCGAGACCAAGATAAATATCGCTACCGCTATCCCAAAGGAGAGGTAAGGTTTGGGGGGTGGCCTAATGCCTAGGACTACTCCCCAGTGTCTTCATTGCAACTGCCAGGATTCCACAGTTGTCTAGACAGCTCTAGAAACAGAGTAAGCATATCTTGCAGCAGCTGCCATCCCACAAGGCACATGATTATCTGGCCCTTGGTTGTTTTAGATTCTTGGCTATAGGCAACAGATCCATCCCTTTCTTTTAAAAGCTACATAATTTTCTTGCTTATTCTCTTTCTGCTTCGGAAGTGCTCACTTTATCCTGGACCTTGTCTCTGGTATCCCTTCATGAAGACACTTTAAATAGTTCAACATACTCTGATTTCCTGATATTTTGTTGCCAAGTTGCCTAAGGCTCCAGCCTCTCTGGACAGTTGGCATTGTCCCAAGAGACAATGGCTAATAATTTAATCAACTTCTTTGCCACTACATGAACCAGACCATCAGTTCCCTATCCCCATATGAGATGAATGCTCATTGCATTTGATCAAGCCTCCACTTAGCCAGTTCCACATTTTAGAGCATTTATTAGTCACACTTTATTTCTAATATAAATTGCTGGGAAAAGTTATTAGAAAAGAAGGACATCTGGGAAGATAAAACAATAGATATTCTATTCAGTTATACAACACTTTCACATTTTTTCTCTTCACCCTCAGAGATGACATTATAAAATTCATCTTAATTTGACCTCATTTTCCTTTAGGTATTTAGAGGCTGTGTTATTAGAGGTATACAATATTAAAGCAATTATGTTTTCTCAATGAATTGCACATTTTATCATTACATAGGACCAAACCTCTTTCTTCCCGATAATCCTTTTTGCCTAAAAACGTATTTTATCTGACATTAATATAGTTGTACAAGATTCAGTGACTTCTGGTGACTACTTACCTAGTTCACTTTTAGCTATTCATTTACTTTCAACTTCCCTCTGTATCTTTGTTTTGTGTCTCTTAAAAACAACTTACAGTTGGGTTTCGTTGTTTTTAATCCAAACTGAAAATATATGTCTTTTGAATGGTAAGTTTGGTATATTCACTTTTATTGTAATTACTAACTTTTTTAGTTTATTACTATTATCTTGTCTTGAGTTCTCTGCTTAGTTTTTTCTCTTTTCCTGCCCTCTTTTGGATTGATAAAGTTTTTATATCCATATTTAAGTTATATAATTTGTTTCCATTCATTTAAAGATTACCCTTAACATTTAAAAAATTTTTCATCGTGATTCTTTCAATTTTTAGTTGATATCTCAATAAGGATGTAAGGTCAAAATGTATTTCAAGACCACTCATAATAATTCTTTGCTGAGTGCTATTATGCAACCAACTCAAACCCTTAGCATTTTAATATTCAGTATTAACAAAATCTAAAATCAATATCTCCACCCTCTACCTAAACAACAGAAGAACTTTAAAACTCTGGCCACTGTGTCTCCTAATTTACATGTTGTTTGTATTTTAGGTCAAACTTGGTCTTAACCCCCAAGTGAATTATTACTGTTGTCGTTATTATTGTATGCAGTCAATGTTTATTTAGATTTAACCACATGTTTACCAATTCCTCTGATCATTCTTGCCCCTTGCACCTCAAATCTTCCCTCTGAGTTCATTTTCCATCTTTCTTTTTTATTTTTATTTTTATTTATTTAGTCATTTATTTTATTTTATTTTATTTTTGAGATGGAGTCTTGCACTTTCTTTTTTTTGGTAATTTTTCTAATTTATTAGTTTAATATCCCTCCCATTTAAAAATTTAATTTAATGTACTTAAAAAAATTGACACATAACAATCCTAATTTTTATGGAGGTACATAGTGATGTTTTGATACATATAGTGTATAGTAATCACATCAGGGTAATTAGCATATCCATGATCTCAAACATTTATCATTTCTTTGTGTTGGGAACATTCAATGTCCTCCTTCTAACTATTTGAAACTTATAATATAAACTATAGTCACCCTACAGTGCTATAGAACACCATATTATATTCTTCCTGTCTAGTTCTAATTTTATACCCTTTAACAAATCTCTTTTTTCCCCCCAACTGTTACCCATCTCAGCCTCCAGTACCCTCTGGTCTACTTTTTACCTCTATGAGATCAACTTTTTTTTAGCTTCCATATATGAATGAGAACATGTGGTGTTTAACTTCCTGTTCCTGTCTTATTTCACTTAACATAATGTCTTCCAGTTCCATTCGTGGTGCTGAGAATGACAGGATTTCATTTCTCTTTTATGGCTCAGTAATATTCCATTGAGTGTATATACCAAATTTTGCTTTATCTAGTCATCTGTTGTTGGACACCTAAGGTTGATTCCATGTCTTGGCTATTATGAATAGTGCAATAAACATGGGAGTGCAGATGTCTCTTTGATATAATAATATCCTTTTTTTATTTAAGTTCTAGGGTACATGTGCACAACATGCAGGTTTGTTATATATGTATACATGTGCCATGTTGGTGTGCTGCATCCATTAACTCGTCATTTACATTAGGTATATCTCCTAATGCTATCCCTCCCCCCTCCCTCATCCCCACAATAGGACCCAGTGTGTGATGTTCCCCTTCCTGTGTCCAAGTGATCTCATTATTCAATTCCCACCTATGAGTGAGAACATGTATTTGGTTTTCTGTTCTTGCGATGGTTTGCTGAGAATGATGGTTTCCAGCTGCATCCATGTCCCTACAAGGGACACAAACTCATCCTTTTTTATGGCTGCATAGTATTCCATGATGCATATGTGCCACATTTTCTTAATCCAGTCTGTCACTGATGGACATTTGGGTTGATTCCAAGTCTTTGCTATTGTGAATAGTGCCGCAATAAACATACGTGTGCATGTGTCTTTATAGCAGCATGACTATATTTATTTTATTTTTTTTTTTTTTTTTTTTGAGATAGAGTCTTGCACTTTCACCCAGGCTGGAGTGCAGTGGCGCGATTTCGGCTCGCTGCAAGCTCCGCCTCCCGGGTTCACGCCATTCTCCTGCCTCTGCCTTCCGAGTAGCTGGGACTACAGGCGCCTGCCACCACACCCGGCTAATTTTTTTGTATTTTTAGTAGAGACGGTGTATCACCGTGTTAGCCAGGATGTTCTCGATCTCCTGACCTCGTGATCCACCCACCTCAGCCTCCCAAAGTACTAGGATTACAGGCGTGAGCCACTGTGCCCGGCCTTCCATCTTCTTTAGAAGCTTTTTTAGTGAGTAAACACACCCTTCTTTTTGTTTAAAAATGTCTTGGTAGGAGGGGGTCCTCAATCCTAGTGATGCTTGGCTGGGTAAAAACTGTAGGTTGACAGTTGTTTTCTCTCAGCACTTTGAAAGTATTACCCTCACTGTCTTCTGGCTTCTACTGTGGCTAGGAAATCTGCTGTCAGTCTAGTTTTCTTTTCTCTCTGGCTACTTTTAAGGTTTTTGTATCATTGTTGCTTTAAAGTTTCCTTCTAATATGTCTAGATGTTAATTTCTTTTCATTTATTAATATATTGCTTGGGATTAGTGAGACTTCCCGAATCTGAGGCTTGGGATTCTTCATCAAGTCTGGAAAACTCTCAGACATTTTATCTTTAAAAATTCATCTCTCACATTCTATTATCTTCCTCTGGAAATCCAATTGGATGTATGTTACTCCTGCCTCTATTCTTCATGTCTCCTAACTTTTCTTTCCTATTTTCTATCTCTTTGTATCTTTTGCTGCATCCTGAGTAATTTCTTCAGCTTTATCTTCCAGTCACTATTTCTTAAGTAGTATCTAATATGCTCCTTACCCCATCCACTGAGTTTTCAATTTTAATGACTATTTTTTTATTTCTGAAATTCTATTTAGTTCTTTTTCAAATCTACATCGCATTTTTGATAACATCTTGTTTCTTCCTTACATTTTTTATTCCACTTTTTATTTCTTTAAAAGTTTCAAACATATTTATTTTATATTGTGGCATCCCTTATCTTAAATTTTTAGGGTTCTCTTCTTGTTTCTGCTTATTCTCACTCATGGTAGCTTATTTCCTTGTGTGTTATATGAGCTCCAGCTTGGCAAGAATTTATCTATGGGAATCTCACACAGCCTGAGTTAAGAGAATCCAGAGAGATTTCCGTTTGCTTCTTCTAAGCAGTCCTGGGAGCTAACGACTTGGGATCACTTTTTATTAAACTCTCAGCATAACATTATTCAAATCACATGGGTAGTGTAGCTCTGAATCACCAGCTCACCTGAGGGAAGTCTGGTGGTTATAAATTCTTACAGGAGGATTTTCACTTATTTCCCCTGAGAGCCAAGGAGAGACAGACACATTTTCTTGTTGTTTCTTTTTGCTTGTTAAGGAACTTTTTCTAGTTTGCACTTTTGCTGAGAGTGTAAAGATTTGGCCTTTGAGGGTCTCAGATTTATGTGAGAGTCTCAGTCTCAACTGCCCACCTTGTGCACACCCAAGGCCTTGTCTTCTACTTCTATAAGGTTTTTAAAACTCGAAACTCTTAGTTACTATGATTGGCAAATGCCCCCAGGGCAGCTGTGGCTTCTACATCCATATCACTTTTTTTTCAGTTTTTCTTCATTTTGGGGCCCTATATTTATAAAATTTTCTTTATTTTTGTGAAAGGTCAGCAGTGCACTTAAGAAGACAATTTGCAGTGGGGAGTTTTATTGTTGTTATTGTTATTTAGTCCACTGTATTGGTACACTTATTTAGTCCACTATATTGATAGCCCCCATTTAGCAGATAATGAAACTAAGACCCTAAGAAGGAAGTGAGTTGCCTAAGGTCATACTGCCGGGTCAACAATTGAACTGGCACTGGAACCAAATGTTCTTGATTCCTAGTTTAGAGTTCTTCCCCTCTGGGCAAATGTGCCTCATCTCCCTTTCTCACTCAAATATCTCTCTTACATTTAGTCCTATGAGGATCTGGTTCAGCGTCTGGAGCCAGTGATAATGGAGCTAGAACGACAGGAGAATGTACTGGTGATCTGCCACCAGGCCGTCATGCGGTGCCTCCTGGCCTATTTCCTGGATAAAAGTTCAGGTACTACCCTCATCTCTGTTTTGGGGAAGTTTGATGGTATTTGAGACACTTGACACCAGCAATTAGATATCTATATCTTAGTAGTTAAGAGAAGAGTATTTAGAACAAGGATGCCTAGGTTCAGATTCTTTCTCTTTCACATACTAGCTGTACTGCCTTTCACAAATTACTTTAACCTCTCTGGCCTCAGTGTCCTCCTGTGTAAAATGGGGAGAATAACAATGAATTTTAAGTAACATAAGTAAAAAATTTAGAACAGATCATGACACACTGTATGGGCTATATGTTAACTGCTATTATTAGTATTGTTCTTAGCTAACATTTTCAAAGCCAACGTTAACAGTCTGCCTCAATCTGGAAAAGATGAGCTAGTATTTCTCTGAAGCATGCTACCATCAGGTGATAGTGGGGCCTTTTGTAGCTTCATGATCCTGACTACAAGTTTCTGTCCTTGCTATAGGGGTAATTTCCCCAAGATAGTGATGTTTTCATTTTAAATTGTTTTTCAAATGATGGTTTATTTTTTAAAAATATCTAGGCATTGCATTTATACAGTATTTACACACTGACTACATAGGCTGAACTGCAAACTGGGGCAGCTGGCCTGGCAAAAAAACTGTTATATCACTTTCAGGCATGAGATTCCATTTCCAATGTGGATGCTGAAATGTTAGCATTTCCAGGATATTTTTAAGGTGTCTCAGAACAATGCAAAATTATATTCAATGTCTACAATGTTTTACAGTCTTGGATCTTTTCTACAATGCTGGTTTGAAAATAAAGAACACTGTAATATGGAGTCATCCAGAATTGGAACCCAGGGCACTTGAGAACTTGACATTAAATAAGGAATTTCCTCTGCCCAGTCCTCAGTTTCCTCACTGGAAATAGGTGATAGGATGTGCGGTGCGGGTCCTTGCACTGGTAGATTTCTCTGTGTTCACATCTCTACTTTTCGAGGCAATGTTTTGAGACCATGAGGCGGGTGCTGTAACTCCCATTGTCCAGATGAGGAAATGGAGACCCAGAGAGGTGAAGTGACTGGCACAGGGTCATGGGGCTCAGAGTGTCAGGGATAGACACTGATCCCAGGTACATGCCAGAGGACTTCCCCTTTCAGATATGTGTAGAGTGCTTTTTACACACAGGCTACCTGTCCTGGGAGCCAGACAAGGCAGCACTGGACAGATGTTCTCACCCCCCGCAACCCACCCACCCTATTACTCAGGTGAATGCTGGAACAAGGCCCAGAGAGATTATGTGACTGAGAATACAGACCCACAGAACCTCAGGGCTTGGGCACCCTCAGAGTACATCTAGTCCAATCCTGTCCTATGAAATGGGAACACTGAAGACCAGAGAGAGCAGAGGCTGGGCCAATGTCACTAGTGGAGGCAGTGGCAGAGCTGGGTCAGAGATCTCAGGCAAGTCACTTCCCTTCTCTGAGTCTGTTTCCTAAAGTGTACAAGGAGGGTGTACAGTCTATCTTTAAGGGTGTCATGAGGTAGCGGGCAAAACACCCTTGGCCCAGGGCCTGATGATGACAAAAACAAGGAGGAGCAGCAGGATGGATGCCCAGGAAGGAAAACAGCCAACCTAATGTCTCAGGAGGCTGGGAGGGCAGTGGCAGGCCTCAGAAACCTAGAGTGGAACCTGCTGTTCAGGGAAGCCATGAGGGGTGGTGATCCTGCAAAATGAAGGGAAATGGGGAGTGTTATGTGCAGGTGGGCGGGAAAGTGGGTATCAGGAGAGATTGCCTAGCAGGTGGGTGTATCACCCCCAGGACACTGCGAGCCCCTGGATGGCCGGGGCAGTTGACAGCAGGGGCCAGTGCATGAATTCTGGTGTCACAGGGTCCCAGGTTCAAGTCCTTGCTCTGCTGCTTCCTGGCTGTGTGACTTGCAGAGAGCATTTTCCCTCTCAGAGCCTCAGTTGGCCGAGACCATGAAATGGGCTTACTGCCCCCACCTCTCGGGCTTGCCCGAGAAGTGGAATCATAGGCCCAGACAAGAAATTGCACATGAATATTCAGAACAACTTTATGCATAATGTCAATAACTGGATACAAGTGATGGACAAATGCTCGTCCATCGCCAGGCCTGGGGCAGGAGTGATCAGAGGGAGCAGGCCAGACTGGGAGAAAGCTGTGGGTGCTGTCCACTGCCACAGCAGGGCCTCAGAAAACACTTGCTGACGTGAACTGTGGGCCTTTGTGGTGTGGGGTCTGCGGAAGGCCCCAGCCTTGGGGCGGGAGAGAAGCCTGCCTGGGTCTCCTGTTGGCCCTGTGAGGTGGTGGCCGTCTCCAGGGTGGCCGGCCTCACCCTCCTGCAGGACACGCAGTCCAGTCTACCACCATTTTCCAGGGCATTCCTGCCTCCCTGCTCTCCTCCTCTCTTCCCAGCTGCTCTGAGCGCTGCCCCTGCAGGGTTGGGGGGAGTAGGCCCCTGGTGAGGCCCCACCACGGCAAGGGGACATGAAACGGGGAGCATCCAGCAAGCCTGGGGGCCTGGGGAGGCTGTGTCCTGGCCAGCACCCTGCCTCTGAGGGCTGCTTCCCGTTCCTTTCTAGATGAGCTTCCATATCTCAAGTGCCCTCTGCACACAGTGCTGAAACTCACTCCTGTGGCTTATGGTAAGTACTCCCACCCTGATTCAAGGACAGGCATTTAGAGGCTATGAGCATGGCCCTAGTGCCTACCATTTGCCTACCATTTGCCAAGAAGAGTCCTGCAGGAGGTTTCCTGGGTGGGTGTCCTGCAGGAGGTTTCCTGGGTGGGTGTCCTGCAGGAGGTTTCCTGGGTGGGTGTCCTGCAGGAGGTTCCCTGGGTGGGTGGTGGGGGTGGGACTGATGGTAGTAGGATAACAGGGAAAGAGTAGGATGGCTTCTAAATCTGGGGATGGCGCTGACTTTCTGTGTCTCTGCCAGAGCGCCCAGCACAGAGCACCAAGCTGTGGAAGGGGGATTCCCCAAAGGGGACCAGAGGAAAATTGTAGGTTAGGGCCGTATTGGAGAAAGAGCACAAAGACCAGCCTGGGCAGTTTAGGCTCTTTCTTGGTACATTAGCTATGAAAGGTTCATGAACAGGGGAGGGACAGAATCAAATCTATTCTGGGGTGCAAACAGGGCAGATGACCTACTGAAGCCTGGAGTAAGGTGCAGTCCACAGGGATGAAGCTAAGGGAGCTTCCACAGGCATTAGGCCCCCTCTGTCAGCCCCAAGCCCCAGTGATGCACCCTCCTCCGTCTTCAGGTTCCCTAGAACTCCCACGTGACCTTCCATACTCCTGGTGTTGCCACAACCACACTGTCCTCCAGATAAACTTTGCCTGGCACTGATCGCCCAAGGCAGTGTCCCCAGGACTCTTCCACCTCTTCACCACCTAACACGGCTTGGAGGATCCGCAGAGCTACATCAATATTACATAGATGAGACTGCTGTCCTGCAGACCTCGAGAGCTGTGGGCAGCCAGAGTTCATCTCTCATCTCCATCCCCATTTACAAATGAGCAACTGAAGCTCACAGAACTAAGACTATTAGGGGCAGAGGTGACAGGATGCCCTGTTGGCTGCCTCTTAGGCCTGGTGTCTTCCCCACACATCACACAGCTGTCTAAATTCTCCTCTGTACAGGCGAGTCATGGTCTGTACACAGTATGAAGCTGGGGGTGTGACTGGTGATGCGGGGGAGGTGATACCTCAGGGAAGACCTGTGCCTACCTTGGGGGCTTATGGACAGATGGATTGTTCTTTTCCAAGGCTGCAAAGTGGAGTCCATCTACCTGAATGTGGAAGCCGTGAACACACACCGGGAGAAGCCTGAGGTAGGTGGGGGACTCCATGGCCCAAGCTGGCTGTGGACACAGCACATGGTGAAAGCACCTTATCCACAGAAAGGCTGCCCCAACCCCACGAAGCCTGCGTGTTTTGCACCAACAGAGGGAGCAACCAGCACCCAGAAATGTGGAAACCACAGCCCAGACCCAAGGCACTATGGAGATACAGGGCTGGGGCAATTCCTGCCAAAAAGGCCTCAGGCTGAGATTCCCCCAGGCCTACCTGAGGGTCAGGATCTGAGCCTGGCTGAAAGAGGGGAGCCTGGCAATGAGGACAAGAGGCAGGGGGGAGGTTGGGGCCCTGCACTGCTGTCTCCTTCCTATTGATCCTGCGCTCTCTCCTCAGAATGTGGACATCACCCGGGAACCTGAGGAAGCCCTGGATACTGTCCCTGCCCACTACTGAGCCCTTTCCAAGAAAGTGTCCTCATCGCCTTCCACCTTTAGGAAATGCTATCCTTGCTCTTCTCCTACTCTGCCTTGGCCTCACTGAGGTACTCCACCGCCAGTGAAGAAGTCCTCCGCAACTCCCAAACAAGCCTCACTTACTGGCCGCAACTAAGGAGCTATCTAGCTCTGGATGAAACTTTCTTTCTTAATTCCTATTCTCTGACGAATAAAGACTTACTGCCTACAAGAGGAGAGGAGGAGGTCATGGCGAGGCTTTTCCAATTGTTCTCAAGGTACTGATCCTAATCCTGACCCAGCTCTTCTGCTATGAGGGCATGGAACAGGTAAGGATTTCCTGGAGGGAAAAGTTCTACAGTAGCACCTCCAAAGATGGGGGAGAAGATAGGTGCCTGTGAGTTCCTGTGGGCCTTGTTCCAGCAAGGTGGCTGTGGGCATGACACTTTCATCCTTACACTCAAGAGAAGAATCTGGCACTTGAGCCAAGTGTTCCTTTCTTCTCCAACTCTTGCTGCCATCCTGAGTGATTTCACTGTTTATGTGAATGATCCAACCAATACTCTGGCCTCACAGTCCCCTGACCCCCTCAACTCATCTTCTCTCCTTCAACTACCTACTCCATGGATTTTGGTATCATCTCCCTGGTCTGACTTCTTAAATGCAAGCATCCAACTGTCTGACCACTGCCCACCCACTACCCCAGTCCTTACAACTCTATATCATCCACTGAATCCCTAGCAGTATGCCTCCATACAGTAGGCATATATGTAGTATTTCCTTCTTTTTTTTTTTTTTTTTTTTTTTTTTTTGAGACAGAGTCTCACTCTGTCACCCAGGCTGAAGTGCAGTGGTGCAATCTCAGCTCACTGCAGCCCCGAACTCCTGGGCTTATGCGATCCTCCCACCCCAGCCTCTGTCACAAGTAGCTGGGACCACAGGTGCACACCACCATGCCCAGCTAATTTTCAATTATTTTGTAGAGACGAGGTCTCACTATGTTATCCAAGCTGGTCTTGAACTCCTGGGCTCAAGTGATCCTCCCATCTTGGCCTCTCCCAAAGTGCTGGGATTACAGACATGAGCCACTGTGCCCAGCCCTGTAGTATTTTTTGAATGAACAATATTTGTTGCTGTACAGCATCAAGAGCAGAGTCCTTTGAATGCTCTATTGTCCCCCAATCTATCCTTAGTGTTCTGTCCCTAACTATGTTGGATACTATGGGCCATCTCTTCAGCCACTCTCCATGCAACTACCATAAGCCAGGTACCAGTGACCCAGTGGTAAAGAGACAGACTCATACACTTGCTGCCTTTGTTCCCTTGTTCTTCCATCACAACCACCCAGCAAGACCTAAACCCTGCATAATCCACCTCTCCGTTTTTTGTTGTTGTTGTCTACTACAGAAGTTGCCGATCCCTGCTTGAAGCAGATCTATATTTATCTGCATCCACAGCCACCCTTAAGTCTGTTCAAAGTCAGGGTCGTCTTCTCTGGTACCCTATTCCATCCCACCTTCTCAGGGATGGGCTACTTCAGTCAATTCCTGACTCTTCCATATCGATCTCCTGTCCCTATTAGCTTTTGCCCCACAGTCTATACAATATGCCCAAGTTTTCCTCTCCTATCCCAATTAAACCCTCCCTTGTTCTTATGTCCACCCCTAGTGACCTCTGCCCTTCCCTCCATTCTTACACCAGTGATTCAAAATGAATCTGTACTTACTGTCCAGAAGCCTCTCCCTTTGCCTTCTGCTCCAGGCTTTCCCTCTCCATATCTTTCCTCAAGCTGTTATCCTCTTGCCTGCCATGCTTTCCCCAGGCCTCTATCCTGCTGAAGTCATATTTCCCTTTGAGCCAAAAGCTGGAGCCCCATTTTCTCCAAAGAGCTATGCTGATCTCCAGCTCTTCTGTGAACCCAAGATGCCACTCCACAACTACCTAAGCACATTAAAAGACAGAAAAAACTCCAATTCATTTTGTAAATTTAATGTAACTCTGATACCAAAATATGACAGCACACAGAAAGCAAACAATAAAGCAGGAACAGCAAACAGATTTTTCCATCACATGACACCCTCAGCTGATTGGCCGTAGGTGCTTTGACTGCTGTGTGGACAAAGATTCCAAGGATGTACTTTGGCTCCATGGGAAGGACTACTGCAATTTATTAGCGGTGTCTGTAAACATGGGGAATAAATCTGAAAACAAAACAAATAGGAACACATTTTAGCACCAAATGCACTGTCTTCTCATAATTCCTTCATTGCCCTCACCTTTCCACCCCACTCTCCTGCCTTAGTGTTTCTTATAACATCTCCCAGCTCTTATACCCATCCCTGTGGGTCCTGGCTATGGAAATATTGCAGTTACCTGAAACCTCACTAGCCATAGGAGAAGCCACAGGCACCAAGACTGGTGGCTCCACTGCCGAAGCCAGCACTGGTGCTTGGTCCACCACCAAAGCCAGCACCAGTGTTTGGTCCACCGCCGAAGCCAGCTCCTGTGCTCGGTCCACCGCTGAAGCCACTGATGCTTGGTCCACTGCAGAAGCCAACACCAGTGCTTGGTCCACCACTGAAGCCAACAATAGAACTGGGTCCACTATGGAAGCCCGTGCTGGTGCTGGGTTCGCCAATAAAGCCAGTGCTGGTGTTGGAACCACTGCCAAAGCCAATGATGGTACTCAGTCCTCTGTCGAAGCTGGCATTAGGCCTACTGCCAAAGCCATCGCTGGTGCTGAGGCCACCGCTAAAGCCAGCACCGGTGCCAAGTGTGCTGCCAAAACTAGCATTGGTGCCCAGTCCACCACCAAAGCCATCACTAGTGACCAGTCCACCACCAAAGCCAGCACCGGTGCCCAGTCCGCCACTGAAGCCAGCGCTGGTGCCCAGTCCACCACCAAAGCCAGTGCTGGTGCCTGGTCCTCCACTGAAGCCAGCGCTGGTACCTAGCCCACCATCAAAGCCAGAACTGGTGCTTAGATCACCACTGAAGCCAGCACTGGTGCCTAGGCCACCACCAAAGCCAGCACTGGTGTTCAGTCCACCACCAAATCCAGCACTGGTGCTTAACCCGTTGCCAAAGCTGAAACCGGTACTGGTGCTGGGTCCATCACCAAAACTAGGGCTGGTAGCACCACTAAAGCAGGCACTGGTGCTAGGAGGGCCACCAAAGCATAGGTTTGTATTAGATGCACTGCCAAAGCAGAGGCTGGTGCTGGGAGCTCCACCAAAACAGAGGCTGGTGCTATGAGCACCACCAAAGCTGACACTGGTGCTGGGAGCAGCACCAAAGCCAATGCTGTTGTTGGGAGTACCACCGAAGTCAGTAGTGGTACTAAGTGCCCCACCGAAGCCAGCACTGGTGTTAAATGCACCGCCAAAGCCAGGGTTGGTGCTGGGTACACCACTGAAGCCAGCACTGGTGCCGACAGCACCACTGAAGCCGGCACTGGTGCTGATGGCACAGCCAAAGCTGGCATTGGTGTTGAGTGCACCACTAAAGCCAGCACTGGTGCTGGGAGAGCCACCAAAACAGACGCTGGTGCTTAGTGTACCACCAAAGTCAGTGCTGGTGCTGACAGCACCACCAAAACCAGCACTGGTGTTGAGCGCACTGCCAAAGCTGACACTGGTGCCAGGAGAGCCACCAAAGCAGACACTGGTGCTTAGTGTACTGCCAAAGTCAGCACTGGTGCTCATAGCACCACCAAAACCAGCACTGGTGTTGAGCGCACTGCCAAAGCTGGCACTGGTGTTGAGAGCACCACCAAAGCCAGCACCGGTGCTGGGAGAGCCATCAAAGCAGATGCTGGTACTTAGTGTACCACCGCAATTGGCACTGGTGCTGGAAGGGCCACCAAAGGAGACACTGGTGCTGAGTGTGCCTCCAAAGCCAGTGCTGGTGCAGGGAGAGCCACCAAAGCAGATACTGGTACTGAGTGTACCACCAAAGCTACCACTGGAGCTGGGAGAGCCACCAAAGCAGACACTGGTGCTGAATGTGCCTCCAAAGCCAGTGCTGGTGCTAAGCGCACTACTGAAGACTGTGTTCGTTGTGGGTGCACTGCCAAAGCTGGTGCTGGTGCTGAGTATACTACTAAAGCCAGCCGTGGTGCTGAGTGTGCCTCCAAAGCCAGAGCTGGCTGCACCACTGAAAGTGGCACTGGTGTTGAGTGGGCCACTAAAACTAGAGCTGACTCCACCACTAAAGCTGGCACTGGTACAAGGCGTGCCACCAAAGCTAATGCTGGCTTCACTGCTGAAACTAGTGCTGGTGCTGGGTGCACCACCAAAGCTAATGCTGGCTGCACTGCTGAAGCTGGAGCTAGTGCTCAGTGTGCCACCAAAGCTAATGCTGGCTGTATTGCTGAAGCTGGCACTGGAGCTGGGTGCACCACCAAAGGTAATGCCAGGTCCACCACTGGAGCTGGGTGCACCATTGAAGCTAATACTAGCACCGTTGCTGAAGCCAGCCCTGGTACCAGCTCCTCTGCTGAAGTTGACGCTGGTGCTGGCATCTGCATTTTCTTGGGCTCTGGCCTCAATTTCAAATGAAAATCTGCTCCAGGCCTGAGCATCATCGCCTAACTCTTCCCTTGTTAGGCAGTCGATATCCATGTCATCCCAATTCCAGGGCCCAGCCACAGCTTCCTCTCCAATCCCCATTTGGGCTCTTGCCTCAGCCCTGGCTTCAGCCTCAGCCACAGCCACAGCTGCAGCTTGGACTTCCATCTCCACTGCCTCGCGGTACTGCACAGCCCAGTCCTTGGGGTCTTTTTTCTGCACCTGAAATGGGGATGATAATCATAATAAGAAAATAACCCTAGTAATCACATATTAATCTATGGGCTTTGTATTGAACTAGTAGCCATACTTTTTAAAAATTCTTAGTTATTGGGGCTCTGTCATGGGTCAGTTCTGAAATCATTTCAGCTCTGACGATTTACATGCTATATGACCTTGGACAAGTTACTTAACCTCACTTAGCCTAAGTGTCTTCATTTATAATTACAGGAAATAAAAGAGTATGTATGTTATGAACTGAAGTGTTGTGCCTGTCCCCAAATTTGTACATTGAATCCCTAACACCCAGTGTGATTGTATTTGGAGATAGGGCCTTTACAGAAGTAATTAAGGTTAAATGAGGCCATAAGGGTGGGGTCCTGATCAATAGGATTAGTGTCCTTATAAGAAGTGACACCAGAAAGCTTGCTCTCTTCTCTCTCACACACAAAGCCATGTGAGGACACAGCAAGAAGGCAGCCATCTGCAAGCCAAGAAGAGAGCCTTCACCAGGAACTGACCCTAGTGGACCCTAACCTGGGATTCTCACCCTCAAGAACTATGAGAAAATAAATTTGTTTTTTAATCCACCCAGTCTATGGTATTTTGTTATGGCAGCCCATTCAGATTAATACAAAGTATGAAGAATCAATGAGATGATGTAAACTAGATATCTAGCAGCACCCTAGGACATAAAGGAGGTTCCACATGTTTATATATGAGCTCCAGGCTGCTCTGTACCTGCCCATCCCTGTGCATTGCTTGCCCCAGCCAAGGGTATCCCATTGCCTTAATATGCCAAGCTCGGGCAGCTCTCCTATTACCTTGCATGCAAACTTGAGGACTTTCATCTTGCTAGTCTCATGGTAGGAGCGCAAGCCCCAGAAGAACTCATATTCAGGTGGTCTGCTGTTAGGGACCCTCTTGTACTCCAGGTACCTTGGAAAAAGGAAATGAAACTTGTTTCTAACCAAGCAAGCCTGCTGTCTTAAGCACTAGACACCAGGTGGCCACCTCCTCCAAAGAAATACAAACAGCCCCTGGAGAAGGATTTCTAAGACCCTCCAGCCCCACACTCACTACCAAACACAGTTCATGGTCTTGGCCTCCAATACTGAGCCATTTTCCACTGGCCCTGTACAAAGCAGTCCCTTGGGCTTCTCCAGGGGAGACATGTATAGGGCATGATGTCACAGGAAGGCCAAAGTATCATGCCACCTGTGAGGAGTAAGCCCAAATTCCTGTTGGGTGTGTTGTAAACAGAGGAGCCATTCTTAAGGCCCTCTGCTCTGAGCGCACCCCACTGCAAGGGCCTTGTGTTGAGTCTGGCCCAGTCCTGGAAAGGTCTGCCCGTGGGAATTTTAGACAGTATCAGTTCTAGAACACAGGATGCCCATCCCTCTAAAGCTAGTGTAAGAAAGGCACTAAGCACTTTCTGAATAAGATCAGTATACCCAGAACACTTCAGGGCCAGACAAAGCCCCAAACACCACTTACTTCTGCTTCACAAACTCGTCTGTGATGAGCTTCCTCACTTCCCCAAAGAGTGAATGCCTCACCCTGACAATGGGAAAAATAACCCATGAACACAGATCAGAACTGCCCAGATGAGGGCAGAGGCATTTCCCAACATGGAAGAGACCTCTCTAGCACATGGGGCAGTCTCAATGAAGCGAAGAAAGTAGTGAGCACATGGCCACTAGAAGCAAGCAGTTAAGACCAGATGCCTCTTTGTCAGGGATCCCTGAAGGTCTATCTAACATCTCAGCTTAGAACAGACAGAGGACACACAGGAGAGAGCGAGCAGAGAGTTCAGGACCATTTGCCCATCATCCACCCAGGTCAGAACCCTGGGCCCTCTACCCAGTCCAGCACCCCACCCGCTCCACCAGACCACCAGACTGATGCAATCCTAGGACCGTCCTCTCTTGCCAAAGGACAATACGGACAGCAAGCGCTGAGAAGCCCAATCATACCCAGGGTGCAGCCCCAACTTGCGCAGCACCTCCCAGATGACAGCTGCAAGGGGAGGCAAGAGAGACAGGGACAGAAATTGAACACATGGAATCTAGACCATGGCCGCCCATTCAGCTGCATGCCCAGCCACTCACCCTCACTGGCCTTGTTGCCATTCATAAAAATGACACTCAGAATCACCATGAGGAGACCCAGCTTGGGTGTGTCCTTGGTCCTAAGGGAATAACAGGACAGAAAGAAGGTTTATGTTCAGCAGCCATCCGCAAAAGACACACCAGTCAGCTTACTAGGCTAGCCTCTCCCAGATGCCTCAGATACAGAATTCTGCCCAATCTCTGCTTCCAGCTCTATGCCACCCTGGGCAAGGCATTTACACTTGCAAGCCTTGGTCTATTATTCAGTAAAATGGGAAAATCATATTCTCCCTTCCTCAGGTTGCCAAGAAGACGGAAGAATGGCTGTCAACCTGGTACAACACAAGCACTCAGTCCCTGTGAATCCCTTCTTTCTCTCCCAGAACCTTCAGCCCCACTGATACTCCTGTGCTTCATGCATCCTGATCCACCCACACCAGGAAGCCCTCCTTGAGAACCACTCTGCCAAAGCCAGGCCAGGCACTCAGTCGGAAGAGGCAAGCAATGACAGGCCTGCTTTCCTGAGAAGCTTCTACAGAGACAGCAAACCTGACAGCAGGAATGTCCCACCCTAGGCTCCTACACCCATCAGTCATAATCAGGTGCCACTCCTGTGAGCAGGGCTCCAACTATGTGCAGGTGCTGAGACGGGGCTTTTGAGACTCTGTTTTTCCTGACTCCCTAAAAGGATGGGGGAAGTAGGACAAAGAAGGGGTAGCAGCACAGAAAAAAGCAAAAGCTCCCTTCCCACTCCAGCCCTTTCCCAGCTTACGTTCCCAGTATGCCTGCAGAGGATTCCCGAGTGCTGATGAGAATATACAAGCTACTTTGCTTATCAATTTCTTTCAGATTGACTCGAAACATCTGCCAAGTAAAAGAATAGCCTGTGAGATCACAAAATTCAGCTTGGGTATCAGTGAACTTTCTGGGCATCCTAAAACTCCCAGTGTACTTAGGGGTTTTGCATGTGTAAGAAATCAGTGAGATAATGCACATAAAGCACACAGCCAAGTGCCTGGCACGCAGTAAACACACAGCAAATGTACTATTGTCATCAACATCATCTTTGTGATGAGCAGGAATCTAAGGAGACAGAGAATGGGGATACAAGGGAGAGGTGAGATCTGAAATACATGCAGAATGTGTCAAACCATGGATAGAAGCTGAGACTAAGTTGAGTGGCTTGTGTCCTTGCCATGCTTTCATCACTGACATGCTGTGTGACCCATGGCAAGTCTACACCTCTCCCTAGGCCACTGTCTGCCCATTCACACAGTAATGGGGCTGGATTAGCATGTCTCTGTGATTCTCTCCAAAAGAGACATATATATCTTTGCTCAATTCAAAGCTTCCCCATTGCGCCCATCCGCCAGCACTGCCCCTTCACCTTCTCCAGAGCGTAGCTTGCTCGTTCAATGATTTCTGGGAAATATTCATCATATTCTTGGATGACATCCCTCAGCATGTCTGTAGAAAAGGAGAGGTGAGAGTAGCTGAGCTTAGCGGGGGCCACAGTGCTGCAGCCCTTTTGCCAGTCCTGTTGGGTCAGTGCAACCAGAGACCTGAAGTGAGTTAATGGAAGATGCCAGCCATGGCAGAGTGTGAGGAGGGCAGGTGTGGAGATATGAGAGAACAAAGAGGCCATAAAGTGTTACTACCAGACTATGGGAAAAGAGGGGAGTGGAGAGGAGAGCTCAAGGAGGAGGGTTGGTAGGACACTACCTGAGCGCTTGATGGGGATCTTTGTCTGGTCCTTAACCAACAGGTATTTCACCAACTTATTAGCCTGGGAGGAGAGGAATAGATTGAGAGATCTTAACATGCTTGCAGAAAACTCGGGAGGTGGCAGAGCAGAGGGCAGGTGAAGAAGAGAAGAGACTAGACAGTATTGGATTCTTACCCTTTCTTGTAAAATGGCCACATCTCGCGGTGGCGCAGGCCTCCGGCCCCATGGGATCCGCCTGTAATTATTGCCACTTCTCTCATCCCCATTCAGATGCTTGGACTTCATCATCAGAAAGAAGGAAGGTCCAGAGTCACCAGGTGAAAGAGATGGCTCTGGCTCCTCACCTTGCCTGCTCCAGACAGAAAGTCTCTCTAACCCCCTCCCTCAGCCTTGCTGTAGTGGAGCCTGATCCTGACCTTGCCATTGGCCACCCTAAGTTCTGAGCTTATCTTTCACTGTCTTCCAGGAAGGAGTTTCATTCCTCTGTCAGGCTAGGAACAACTCAAGATAAGAGCCTAAGGGTCTTTCTCTTCCTTTGGCTACCACCAATTATGCTGGCTGGTATCTCTTGGACAAGTCACTTCATTTCTCTGGGACTCAGTTTTCTTATGTGTAAAACTGGGATCTATGATCCCTTGTTGGTAAGAGTTACTTTCAAGACATTCAGACATACCTTGTGTAAATGTCCCCAACACAAAGCCTGGCACATGGTAACTACTATTTAAATACAAGTAGAATTACATACAGGTTGTAGCTGAGTGTATGGATGTCTTATTTCCTCACCAATCTGTGAACTACTAGGGGGCAGAAACTATGTCACCTTCTTCTCAGCATCTTCCACAGCCTATCTGAACACAGGGACTAGCTCAAAGTTAAACTTTTATAGAAGAAATGAACAAACCAGAATGGAAAAGAAGCACAAAGTTAAGGATGGTAATGTCAGAGATCTCACCTTTCGGTTTCTCTTGCCCCGGGTCCTGGTTGTGGGCTCCAGACTCAACTGAGCCAGATAGTCATCTGCCAGGGCCTGGACAGCAGCAGCAACCTGAGTCTCAAGGGCACTTACGTTGGTCTGAGCAGAGGCCATCTTGGCCTGGGCCCCTTGGTCAGCATTTGGAGTCTGGCTTTCAGTTGCCCGAGCCTTAGTGGAAGCCTTCCGAGCCCTAGACCCTCTCTTGACCCGCAGGGTGGCTGCCAGGGCCTGGTTTGTGACCATTTGAGTGGCAAGTAGGGCCTCAGAAATCTCAGAGACAGAATTTGGGCCCCTACTGGCAGCCTTCTTGCCCTTGGATTTTTGGGACCTGATAGCTATTACTGAGGCCTCAATCTGCCTGGTAGCTGTCTCAGTGACATTTGCAGCCTGTATATGCTCAGTGTCAGTATTTATGACCTTAGCAATTATCTTCCTGGCTTTGGAGGCTTTCTTGGTTCGGATGGAGGCTGCTGTGGTGTGGATACTGGCTGTCTCATTGGTAATTTGGCCTTGGGTGGTAGCTGTATGGGTGGCAGTTGGAGCCAGTGAAACCTCGGTGGCACTAGCTATGGCCTTATTCGCAGCCTTCTTAGCCTTGGAAGCTTTCTTAGGCTTGATAGAGGTTATCAAGGTCTGGGAACTGGCTGACTCATTGGCAATTGAAGCATGAATATTCTGTGAGATGACTGGTAGGTTTAGGACCTGCAAGGGTGACTTGAGCTGTGTAGCGCCACCCTCACAGCCAGTTGGGGATTGGGAGCCTTGCGCTGCCTTGGCAGTAACTCTCTTCATCTTGTTGGCTTTCTTAGGCTGAGCAGTGACTGAAGAAACCTGAGTATTGGTTACCTCAGTGGTAGGTGAAGCCTGACTGATCTGGGTAATGACTGGCAGGTTTAAAGCCTGCAAAGTTATTTTGGGCTTGTTGGTGGCAATCTCATTGGCAGTTGGGACTGGAGGGGCAGCAGGTGCAGCCTTAGTAATAGCCTTTATAGGGGCCTTCTTGGTCTTGCTTTTCTTAGGCCGGTTGACAACTGGTGGGTCCACGGCCAGGGAGTCCTTGGTTGCCGCCAACAGGGTATGCATCAGCAAGACACTGTCCTCTTCTGTAGTCTCAGTCTGTATATCTGGAGGGAAGGGAAGCCCCAGGCTCCCAGGGGGAGGCAGAGGGCCCTACACACTTAGGATTATGATCCTCTGGGCCATCTGGCCTCCCTAAAGCCCACCCCTTTCCACAAAGGCCTTCCCTTCCTCTGAGCAGTGGTTAATTGAAATGGGGTGAGGGAAGGGGTAGGGATCAAGGAAGGAATAGAGTCAGGCAGGTTTTCCTCTCCTCCCCTTCACCATGTAAGGAAGGACTGAGATGAGTTAGGCAGGGAATTATGAAACTACACAGTGGAAGGGGTCTGAAGAGCAGTAAGTGAACTCAGGACGGGGCAGATGGCCAAGAGAGAATGCAGAGAGGCCTCACCTGAAATGGAGGCACCCTATATCCGTAGTCATTTCTCCTATCCATCTTTCTGGGAGGCCGAGTAACAGCTGAGTCTGAGGGGAATGGGCCTGAATTAGAGAATGAGAGGGAGGGGGAGATTCATCAGACATCTCACCTATCCTTACTTAGGAGAGTCTCATGTAACCTTGGGCCCTAATCCCTTCAACTCCTGGGTTTTCATACCTAAAAAACCCAGCCCATCTGGTTTCCGTTTTGCCTCCAAGAGGGTCAGTTCTACGACCCCGCCCCTTTACACGCCCCCTCCGCAACTCGATAGTGCGCAGGCGCACCGACTAGAGGCACCCTCACCCCCTTAGGCCCACCGCTCTCCCAAAAGAACCGGTTCTTCAAGGCCCTCCGCGCGCATGCGCCTTGGTAAACCGGACAGTTTCTAACCAGCTCAATCCCACATCTGCCCCCTGCTCTCAGAGCAACAGAACATCTTGGCGCCACCCCTGACTCACTCTTCTAACTGCATCACATCTCGATCCAACCCTTCCCCCAACACCAGCCCCTCCCTCCCGTACCGCAGTACCACTCCCCTCCGCAGTACCACTCCGCACCGCACCTACCCCAACACAACCCATCTCTCCTCTACTGTACTGCTACACACCGCCCCTTCCCAATACACACCCCTCCCTCTGCTCTGCAGCATTTCTCTGCACCTTCCCTTCCTTTAATAAGCCCCCTCCCTCCGCTCTGCGGTACGTCTCTGCACCACCCCTTCCCCAACCAACGCCACTCCCTTCTCTTTCCACGTCCGCAAGTGTGCGGCTCCGCCCTTTCTGCAACATGAATACCCCACCCCCAAATCCAACTATGTGAACCTTCTGTGTATTCCTGTTCTCAAACCTTACCAGGTCCTGTCTCTTCCCTTTCAAACCGGAACCAACCAGGTCATATCCCCTTCTTTCTCCAGTCTGAATCTGGTCCTTTCCGTTGCTCAAAAGGGATGCTGCCCACTCCTTTCTCTGGGTCCCGATCCCTCCATTCTGTGGCCCAAACAGAGTCCTGCCCCCTTTCTCCAGCCTAAACGGAGTCCTGCCATCTCCTATCTCCCTCCGGAACTGTGTGTATCTTCCTCCCCTCTTGCTACCGTCTGAAGGATTTCTCGATCCTTCCTTTCTGCGGTCCCAACTAGGTCTGCATCCCTCCCTTCCACGGCCCGAACCGAGTCCAGATCTTTCCTTTCTGTGGCTCAAAGGGGATTCTGCCTCCTACTTTCTTCTATGCGAACTGGGTCCAGGCACCGCTAAGGCGACTTTGATGCGGTTAGGTCCCGAACCCCCAGCAGGTTTTCTTCAAACCTTAGGGGCGTGTGGAGTCAGGTACGTCGAAACCGCAGCCAGGAAGTCCCCACAGGGTCTTCACTAAAGCCAGGCACCTCAGCTCACCTCGTCTTCTTGAATCCAGAAGGCGTCTGCTCTCTCCAAGCCTCTCCTTACGTCTGAGCCTATCCCCCTCCCTGGCCGGAAGTGGTCCTGCCTCTTTCCGCCTCCAGAGGGGGTCTCGGTTCCTGCCTGTCAGTCTCCTCCCCTCCATACCTATTTTCAGCTTTCCATTTTCCTCAATGTAGCTCCCTTTTTCTGCTTAAGACCCCTATTCAGTTATCACTCCCTCTTATTCTCCATTTGACTTCTCTGTTCCCCACTCTGTATCTCTGTTCCTATTTGATTCTCCTGTTTCCCCTGGGAGGAATGTGCTTCTCGGAACTCCCACACCAACTCTTCCTACAGACCCTCTATCCCAACACTATTTACATAGTGTTGTTATACCTTGTGTCTATGTCTCTCTTTGCTAGAGCTGCTCTGGAGCAGGGGACTAGGTCATGTTCATTTGTGTCTTTCAAGTATTACCAGATTAAAACATTTAGAGGTTCTAAACACTAAAAGATAGGGTGCCCGTACATCATATGCAATTCAGAAAAAAAACAGTAATGTATAAAACTCCATGAAAAGTTTTTATTGATCTCACAATGACTATATTGATGCTTTAAAAGTATCAACTTGTACTTAGACTGTCTCTTGTGACATGGTGCACTGTTCCCCCATGCAGAAAACAATTCGTGGCATTTATTCATTCAATCATTCAAAAGAGAGCAAGGATAACTATACTTATGTCAAATAAAATAGGCTTAAAGTCAAAAATAATAAAAGATCAATGATATTATATTATATAATTATATAATGATGATGAGATCAATTCATCATGAATATCTAAGAATTATAAATATGTTTAATATATGCACCCAACATAGAAGCACCTAAATATATAAAACAAATATTAATAGACCTGAAGGGAGTAGTAGACTGCAATACAATAGTGGTAGGAGACTTCGAGACCCCATTTTCAACAATTCACAGATCAGCCAGACAGAAAATCGATAGGGAAACATTGAACTTGAGCTACACTTTAGACAAAAAGGACCTACAGAATATTTTATCCAATAGAATATACATTATTATCAAGCACAGATAGAAAATTCTCCAGGATAGATCATAAGTTAGGCCAAAAACAAGTCTTAACAAATTTAAGAATATTGAAATCACATCAAGTAATACATGCACAGTGGTATGAAACTAGAAATCATTAATGATAAGAATTGTGGAACTTTCATAAATGTATGGACATTAAACAACATACTCCAGAATAACCAATATGTCAAGGAAGAAATTAAAGGGAAATTTTAAAATATCTTGAGACAAGTGAAAATCTATACACAACATACTAAAACTTATGGAATGCAGCAAAAGCACTTCTAAGAAGGAAGTTTACAGCAATAAATACATACATCAAAAAGAAAAAAGATCCCAAACAATCTAGCGTCACACCTCAAGGAACTGGAAGAAGAAGAACAAATAAGCTCAAAATTAGTAGAATAAAGGAAATAATAAAGACCAGAGCAGAGGTAAATGAAATAGAGATTAGAGAAACAATAGGAAAAAAATCAGTGAAACCAAGAGTTGGTTTTATGAAAAGATAACATTGACAAGCCTTTAGCTAGATCAACTAAGAAAAAACAAGAGAAGACTCAAAATCAGAAATGAAAGAGGAGACATTACAATTAATACCACAGAAAAGCAAAAGATTATATTATATTATATTATGTATATTACATATAGTATAGTCCATATAATATATATACTATACTATATAGAAGATTTACAACATATGTTCTATATATAGAAGATATATAACATATGTTCTATATATAGAAGATATATAACATATACTCTATATATAGAAGATATATAACATATACTCTATATATAGAAGATATATAACATATACTCTATATATAGAAGATATATAACATATATTCTATATATATAGAAGATATATATTCTATATATATAGAAGATATATATTCTATATAGTATGAGATATATATTCTATATACTATGAGATATATAATATATATTCTATGTAGTATAAGATATAAAATATAAATAATATAATATATAATACATAATATAATATTATATGTAAATATGTCTGTATATTTATATATAAATATGTATATAATTATTATAATATATAATGACCTTTAAGATCCTTCCTTTCTGCGATCCCAACTAGGTCTGCATCCCTCCCTTCCACGGCCCGAACCGAGTCCAGATCTTTCCTTTCTGTGGCCCAAAGAGGATTCTGCCTCCTACTTTCTTCTATGCGAACTGGGTCCAGGCACCGCTAAAGGCGACTTTGATGCGGTTAGGTCCCGAACCCCCAACAGCTTTTCTTCAAACCTTAGGGGCATGTGGAGTCAGGCACGTCGAAACCGCAGCCAGGAAGTCCCCACAGGGTCTTCACTAAAGCCAGGCACCTCAGCTCACCTCGTCGTCTTGAATCCAGAAGGCGTCTGCTCTCTCCAAGCCTCTCCTTATGTCTGATCTCATGCAATGATCTCATGCAGTGGGAAAAGAGAATCAATTAAATCTGCATATAACAACATGGATAGTTATCAACATAATGTTGAAAAGAGAAGCGAGAAATAGAATGAAATTTAAAATACAGCACTCTTAGCAGTTCCCACTCTGCTATGGCAATATAAACCCCCTACAGGCACCACCACATTCATTAATTATACCTATAAACTCTGGTCAAAATTTTTTAAAGAAAAGAAAACTTGCTTAAGCACTCCGCAAAGTAACTAAAACCACACAGATTGTGGAAGAGAGTTAAAACATAGAGAAGTGACCTGCATAAGGGTAAGTGTTCCAGGGTTTTTTTTTTCCTCCTTGCCATGAGTGTATCCCACTCACAGACTGGAGCAGAGCATATGACTAAAACTGTGAGGGATTCTCTGCCATCTTTCTGGTCAAAGGAAGCACAAAAAAGAACTTGGGTAGGATGTAGTATGAACAAGAAATCTCAGAAGGAAAAGAGATAGAGAAAACCTCCCCATATATGTGTATGAAACCACACAATTCTCGCCCCAACCATTAAACAATGCATGTTCAAGAATTAACCAAACAAGTATTTTAAAGGCTTAAGGAACTGAGCAGAGAGTTAAATCACCTACATAAGTCTCAGCCTCATACATGCATATGTGTGTGTATATATATATATGTATGTATCACCAAACCAGTTTTGAGAACTACACTGAGATTTTAACTATAACCCAGAAAAGGCAAGGCAGAACTGATGGCAAGAATCTAACTGGGTGGATTTCCTGCTAAAAGAAAAGCACCAACATTTTTCAGAAGATTATAACAACCCAGAGGCTACACAAAATAACATTTGCAATGTCCAGGATATGACAGAAAATTACTCCATGTCAAAGAACCAGAAAATGTGCCCCATTCTCAAGGAAAAAGAAAATCAATATATGACAAAACAAAAGAGACTCAAATGTTGGAATTATGAGACATAACTTTAAAGCAGCTATTGTAACTATACTCCATAAGGTACAGAAAACCATACTTGAAATGAATGAAGGGAAAAGAAACTTCAGAAGAGAAATAGAACCTGTAAGAAAAACACAAATGAAAATTTTAGAACTGAGGAATGCAATAAGTAAAATTAAAATACATTGGATGGGCTCAATAACAGAATGCCAATTACAGAGGGAAAAATATTTACCTTAAAGATAGATTGATGGAAATTATTAGATCTGAGTAACATGGAGAAAAATGTTCGGGAAAAAATAAACAAAACTCAGAGACCTGATGAACATTATCAATGCAGCTAACATACGTATAATTGGAGTTCCAAAAAGACAGGACTTGGGCAGAAAATACATTTGAAGAAGTAATAACCAAAAGCTTTCCAAATGAAGCAAAAGATAAATTTTCATATGTGAGAAGTTCAGTGACCCCAAGACAATGTCAATTCCATGAAAGCCAAATCGAAAAACTCATTACTTCATTTTTTAAAAAATTTTACTTTAAGTTCTGGGATACATGTGCAGAACATGCAGGTTTGTTACATATGTATGCATGTGCTATGGTGGTTTGCTGCAACTATCAACCTGTCACCTAGGTTTTAAGTGCTGCATGCATTAGCTATTTGTCCTGATGCTCTCCCTCCCCTCGCCCCCAACGACAGGCTGCAGTGTATGTTGTTCCCCTCCCTGTGTCCATGTGTTCTCATTGTTCAGCTCCCACTTATGAGTGAGAACATGCTGTGTTTGCTTTTCTGTTCCTGTGTTAGTTTGCTGAGGATGATGGCTTCCAGATTCATCCATGTCCCTGTAATGGACATGATCTCATTCCTTTTTATGGCTGTATAGTATTCCATGGTGTGTATACACCACATTTTCTTTATCCAGTCTATCATTGATGGACATTTGGACTGGGAACTGTTCTTTATGGTATTGGGGTGGTGGATACATAACTCTATGCATTTATCAAAACCCATAGAACTATACATCACAAAGACTAAACATCAATATATGCAAAAAAAAAAAAAAAACAATTAACCAGGATATACAGGGATCTCTGGATGACATATAGACAATGACAAATGAATCTAACTATATTACAAATATATGCTACAATGACATATATTTGCATGGTGAACATTGAAAAAGGAAGTGAAGGACAAAAAAAGGAAGAGCTTACCTAAGTAACTTTATGAAGATGTGAAGAAAAGGAAGAGCTTACCCAAGTAACTTTGGAAAACTGTTTTGACTAGAAACTGAAAGACTAAAGACAAAAGGAACTTTACATACATGCTGTAGTCTAGGTCGTAAATTATTTTTGCCATTGTAGTGTGGGTTAGTAATTTGGAAACTGCTTTACGTGTATACTGGGATTGAATAAATAAGTAAAGGGATGGTAGATGGTGGGAGCCAGACTTCTTACCATCAGAAAGAGGTTACAGATAAGTAAGATGGGTAGGCTACAACTCAGCATGCAGTCCTGAATTGAAGTCAGAAACTTCAGTATGAAATTTTGTTTAGTTGGCCAGGCACAGTGGCTCACACCAGTAATCTCAGCACTTTGGGA